GAATTGTAAATAAAATTTGAGGGTCCATCACAAGAGACGAACATGCAACCATTTTTTGGTTATTGCGAGAGGTTAAGTAGCGTGAATTTTTGATCAGTGACACTTGTGCATTTATAGTTTGCACAAGGCACAAGTCGCACTCTTACTGCACTGATTGTGCAGTGAATCAGAGTAGTGTAGACTGACTGTTGCAGTTATCAGGCCGAGATTCTTTAGGATGACATTTGACCTCTGCAAATTTGCAGTTACAGTAGGCGAGAGTTGCAAGAACGAGAAGTCGCCACCTTCGCTCAGCGAGCATTCCGAAGTATCATTTCTTTCATAAGTGCTTCCCATACAAAATTTGCTTTATTCTTCGACGTCTTCAATGGTTTATTCTGCTTTCTTTTTCGCCCCAAAATATTTGCAATTCTTAAAAATGTTTCGATAAATAGTGCTTTGTTATTATGCTGTTAATTGCGTCATTTTGTTTCACATTATCAAACTGTGCTTCTTTCATTGCTTAGCACTGCTACTACTATGAAACTGACAAAACGAAATTCCATGGATATGATTGAAATCCGATTAAAATATGCTTTTTTCAATACGTAAGCAAACCATATGCATTGTTTTAGCAATTAAAGACATTAGGATACATTCCCATTCTTATCTTCAGGTTGTTAATTACCGAAGTTTTTTTGTGTCCGAGAAAATATCTCGGCGCAGGGAACGTTAAGCTTTTCTGAGCTTGAAATTAAAAAGTTGTAGCTAACGTGGTTGTGTTAAGAGAAATTGCAGTACATAGCTAGTACACTTTGCGTTGCAATTTTCCTATTGCTATGTTCAAATTTGGATGCATGTAAAAGAAACAATTAATGGAGATAATTCCTCTTCATCATAAAAATCAAACAAGAATCGTACTAATTGCTTCAGTGGGCAAGACATTCCCAAGATTCAGATAAGATTTAATTGGAATTCGACAGGGAAATATTTTGTTGAGGTATTTAGGCTAATGTGAATTGTCATTCATATCCATCTGATTACTGCGTTGAATAAAAGCTTGCTTAATGCTAAAGTGCTTGAAAAATTATATCTAGCATTCGATCATTACTTCTACTTGTCATTTTGCGCTATTTTCATTTTTATATGCAAATTACTTCCAAATTCATCAATACTGTAATTACTATTTTGTCAATTTTTGTTGGCAAATATGAATGAAAAATAGAACAAAGTTCTATTAGATACCACTCCATCCATGCATCCATCGCTCGCGTCATGTGCATCCCTTGTACTCCACACAAAATAAAAATGCTTTGTGTGGTTGTGTTATTATAATTATTGACAGCGAATTATCAGAGTTGCAACCGAAGAACATATATATACTGAGAACAAAATGTTTAATGCACAAAATGTGCTGTGCCTAATATTACATCAAACCATTTTGAAAACACTGAAAATTTGTCAAAACACCACGTGTGTAAGTCATCAGAAAGCTTTAGCAAAAAAAAAAATAACATCTGTTAAATTCTTCATGTAATAACCGACTGCACATCACACGTTACCAACTTTTTGAGACGATACTTTCCCTTATAGACATTGCCAGTCTTCGAGTTACCTCATTTTCTTTGTAAAACTATCATTTTTTTTGGTACAAAATAATTTGTTTAGTCGTCACCTTTCGTTTTAAATTATTTGTAAGCTACAAAAAGTATTGAGATTTAGCAGGAAAATACATGCATTCGTATTTCCAATTCCTTACCTGCGTGGATGCTTCAATTTTTTGTTTCATTACTTCACTTGAAATTGTATGCATTGTTATTCTTTGCTAAAAAAATTGTCTTGATTAAATGTTAAACGAATGATATTTATGCACAGAGGAATGCCAATTTATAACGAATAAGCAAGAATATATGATGTAGAGTTTAAATACTCTATATATATTATTCACTCTCAATAGCGGTTGCATATTATCAGTTTTGGTTAAAAAAAGTGTGAAAACAAGCAGAGAACATTTGAATTGAAAGTCACGCAGAAATATTATATATCATATCAGATAATAATGAATGGAGCAAATTGAGACGTCTGAGAATTGCTATATTCGGAAATGTGGCTAACGGCATTTCTCTGAAATTTTCAAAGGCGAAAATTCGAATTTTTATCAAGTGCTGCGTAATAAATTAAACAAGTGTGCAGTTTAAAAAATTGAAGTAACATCTGTTTGCATCAAGCAGCAGGGCAATGTCACTCGATGAAATCTGCTATAATGAGGAAAGATTGATTTATTGATATGTGAAGGAACTATCACTGAAGTAAGTTTCTTAATATCACAAAAGTGAATTGAATTTGATAAGGTATGCTGCGAATTCCATTGGTTTCAAGTTGAACGTTTCGTTTACGTAGTGCATTTCTTTCCCGATTTTTTCAACTCCATTTAGCATAGTTTTCTGTATGCTTGATGCTCCAATTGATTCCAGATAACTTTTTACTCCTTTCTGAAATTGAAGCATTTTCAGAAGAATTTAACCATACTATAATTACTTGTTAACTGTTTACAACAAGAAATGATTGCTGAAATTGACAAGAAGTCTCTTTTCTACAATAAAAATATCATGAACTTGCCCCATTTAATATCTGATTTTCATATTTTACTTCACAACTATGCCCGAACCAAAAAAGAAGATATTCGGAAAATGTTACATGAAGTTCATCTGCTGAACAAGCAGGATAATGTGAAGTGGAACAATCGAGCCCTGCTTTGTACAGTATCATGAGTCGGAGATTCATTTTGCTTGCCAAGGGCCGTAAGGAAATAAGTTGAACATCGCATGGAAACGAAGTTGGACTCGAAAATGGACTTACTGGATTCACCAGAAGTTCTCAAATTGCATTCTTTGATATAATTTTTCCATTTAAGTGTCAAAATAAAATGTGAAACTTGCTTATTGTGAAAAAGACTTTCATGACTGAATCAAATGTGCCGTTAATCATTATTAGTGATCGGAACCTCTTTAGCTGAATAATACTGAACTTTGAGAAAACCACTGCCTACTTGGAGCGATGAGAATAACCGGATGATATATCAGTGATTGTAAAGCCAAATGAGCAGCTAGAGTGTGGTAAGCAAATCGTTGCTGATACTACAATTGTCAAAATGCACTTCAATATCTTACAACCAAGGTTGCAATCAAGCATATTTTTACCATAAGAATATAGGATGTTTTTACAAAAATGTGCTTGATTATAGGCATATGATTAGTAGAAAGTTATCTAAACCTCGTTTCGATCGGTCAATACTGTCTATAGTAAAAGTGACTTGATAAACCGAAGATCTTAACTCAGTGATACAAACCTGTTTCTTATTGGGCGAAAGTTCTTCAAGAACAAATGTAAATTCCATATTGACCGGTAGATTATCTGTTGGTATGCCATCATCTGCGAAACCTAGACCTTTTCCGTCATCTTCTACCAGATGGCGATCTAAGAGTTTGTAATTTCAATATTGCAAGAATTCTGAATTTCAAAAGTAATCATGCCATATACCTATGAAATATTTAATATATTGCTATCAAAATCCAGCACGAAACTTATGTTAGCACTTACCTAGCATTATTTCGAAGCTTATTTTGTTGAATTTTCGCACTCCATGAGGAGTATCACTGAGAATTGAAAGTCTTTTTGACTTATCTTGCAATACTAACGCTGTTGACATCGGATAGTAATTAGATTCTGGTCTCTCTTCCTCTACATATTCTCTTCTTTTTATTAGCTAGAATTTAATGATAATCAGTTCATCAATAAGATGACATTCAAATATTACTATCAACTCTTAAAAATTAATTAGAAATGAACAGAACTAGTATTTGACAAATTTAAATATTCATGCTATTTTTTATTCACCAGATTAGTCTTTTTGGCCTGAAGTTAAGCAAAAATATCCAAGTGCAGCATACATATTTTTTCTTGAAAATTTCTTAGTCAGTTAAACTGATGATTATTTAAAATATGGTTGAGGAAGGAAAAAAACCAACATCATTGATTAACATTGCATATAATTTTTTAATCACTTTTAATGTGAGATAGCAATTAATTTTAACTTTACTAGAAACCTAAATAATAAAGTTAATTACAAGGAAATAGGAATAAAGGCGCAACAATACCATTTATAATTTTTGCAGACTTTTCATACATTATAAGAAGAAGTAGTCTGTATCAAAATTTTTCTTAATACCTCTTATATTTCAAAAAAAAAGCATTTAATTTATCAGAATTCCAGCTAAAGTAATGGAATATTCGGATGTTGCTATTAATTGTATTCCATTACAAAACTTTAGTTAATAATAAATAGTAAGCAAATTAATGAATATGTGCAAAAAAATTTATCTCAAACATACTTGTAAACCATTATTATCAGTGAAATATTCAATTCCATCTGATTCTAAGTCTGTATCAAATCGTGTGGTTAACTGTTTATTTACCAAGTCTTGCATATCAATATAAAGCTTCATGTGCAAGCGATTTTCGTCTGCAAATTATTTTTCAAGAAGCCTTCATCCGCTAGAATCAATGCCAGCTAAACTGTGTACAATATCAAACATTGTGCGTAATTACTGATTCGGTATTATTTTCTACAGGATGGAAAAATGAGATATTAATTACTGAAAAAATCAAAGTACCGGAAATGTTAATAATGAATAAGCGCTGTTTGATGGATTGAGAGATCATGTAAGCGATTTGCCTTATGAATCCGTAAACCACAAAGTGTTTCGGCTTACTTATTTTTAGTGACTAAAACACTTGAAAAAATTTAAATAAATAAAGTGAAAAATATTTTAAAATTTATACTGATTTTACGATCTGTGTTGATTTTCACAGTTTAAGATTTACGATCTTCTTTCCATAATCATATATTAAATTACAATATTAAAATCAGAAAATTACTTTTTTTACGATAATTCTCATAAATGCTGACCTTTGCCTCATGAAGTCTCATAACATATGCACCACTTGACATGCTTTTATAATATTCGAACTGTTGTCTACATTTCATTTGTTCAGTGCTGCTTGAATTCACTGAATTTATAGACTGAAAACACTAAGTAATTATAATGAAGGGACTTTACAAATAAGTGGGAGTGAACTGATAATGAAAATTTTTGTCTAAGAGTATTACAGGTTGTGAATGATGCATGTTTAAATATTCAGGAGCTCTAAAATTACTAAAGTAAACTTTGTAACTTTTTCTTTTATTTTGTGAGACTCGTTTTACTTCGCTTCCTGCTTTATGTAAATCAAAATTTAGAAGGATTACTTCTAATAAACCATTTTTACTGTTCAATTTCACTGATATTCGCGCTGTACGAAGTGAATATTCATCGTTTTCTACAGTTTTAATATGAAAATGTCTGAAGTTGAACACTGATTTCATTTTTTTATAAGCAAAATAATTGTTGAATTATGTTGAGATTAATTTCACTTCCATTTTCAAACATTTTGATAGACTAAGTAGTCTATAGATAATTATCGATAAAGGACTTTTTAACGTTGTTATTGTGGAAATCAACGATATATTTTACGGTAATATATGAAAATAAGAAATAAAATTACAAAAATTTTCATGCATGGATTGCTAGCATATTTTATTGAATGTGTATAATAAATTACAGTAAGATTCCTAGAAAAGTTGTAATTGTTTGGAAAATAATTTTTTCATTTGTTATAAATTCAAATAAAGAAAGCATACTTTGAAATCAGCTCTGGAATATTTGAAGGATTAACTGGTACCAGAATTTGAATAAGTTTTGTTGTTGGGTGAGAACCTTTTCGAAGTGCTATATATGTGAATGAGAGAGGGCTCAGAACTGCGATAAAAACCAACTACAATTTGTATTTGTTTTAATAGAATAACGTTTCAACAATTTAGATATTTGAGTATTATCATACAAAACATGTATACAAAAACTATATCAAATAAAATTTAAATCACTTTGTGGATCAAAACAAAAGTGTGTATTCAGTACCAAAAAATCTTCTGTAAATTCGCCCTTGACTTGATCAAAAAATGGCTCCACTTGAGCTTGAACTGGCCCATTTTTTCCGGTTACAACAATGTCTTTATCGGATACTAGTAGTTCAATGATTTCTGTCTTTTCAACTGCTTCACTATTGTACACAAGTATTGTTCTGACAGATTTAAGCATTTTATCAGCAAAATTTTAAGTTACATAAATGACACATAATACTGAGATGCATTAACTTTTAAAGCTACTATCAAAAAAAGGGTAAAAAGAGATTCAATTCCTTAGGGTTTTTACTAAAGATTACTGCATTAAAAAAAGATTACTAAGCAGAAAGGATCTCAAAAAAATCTTCTAGCAGTGTGAATGCAGATCACATTCCCATAAATTGTACGATAAACATAATTAAATTTCGGTTAAATAATCAGCAGGAAAAGTAATCCCTCAAATGGTCACTGCTCTGACCATTCCTCCATCCAAGCAAAAATATATCAAATATTTCGCAAAATTCATAACAAACCTTGGTTGATCCATCTTAATCAGCTTTTTCTTGCTACTTTCATTATACGCTAATGGAACGTTATCCTAAAAACTCGAGAGTGACATTAAACAGAAGAAAATTGACTATAAAAGCAAACATTGAGTAAAGCTGAAAATTTTATAAAAATTTGAGTTGCGAAAATGAATGCGAAAAAAGCAAGTAAATACAATTTCGAAGTTGTGCAGAGGAACAAATGAATCTAACGCAGTCTTCAGCACGTTCTCGACACTTTTCAACGATTCAAACATGCGCTGTGAGTAATCTTTCATTACGTGATTCTTGCTAGTCCCTGAAAGTAGCTGATAGCTTGGCACAGGGGATTATATTTTTAGTGTGATTAATATATTTTTGATATGATTATTTCTTTTCATTATAATCCCTTCAGTTCCCTATGCTCTATTGAAGCTTTTTGAAGTTTCATCACAAAAAGAATTCCTTTTTCAAACAAATTATAATTAGAAATTATCAATAAGTTCGTTTCGAGCGACACAAATAGACGTAGTTAATTAGTGCACAGTATAGTGATTGATTACCTGTGATGGCATCGTGATGCTGAAACAATGCTAAATTCCTTCGAGCAACTGTAAGTTTTTTATTTACTATTTCATTTCTGTTTATCGATAATTTCCGAAGAGCACTAGTGCTAAGTAAGTCTGCAGCTCGAATAAATGACTGCAACAAAGGATTGTAAATGAATTCGAAACAATAGAATTAAGTGAAGATTTGAAATTGACTTCGCAGTAAAATGACTTGAGTTACAATAATGAGTTAAATATTTTCCCAGAAATCGTTACAGCAATTGATAGATTCTGTTTCTGACTATCTGTCATCAGTGACTACGAACACTATTTGCAGAAGCAGATCACGGTTTATCACTTTTCACAGATTTCTATTGCACTTTATAAATCAGTTTTATTTTCATAAAGTTTGAGTACTAAATGTATTGAAAAAGTACCTAAGTGTTTGTTTTTCCTGAGAAAAAGTGAATTCGCAAAATAAAAATGAAAAATCACATGCAAATCGCGTTCTTGGCGTTTATAAAAAGGTCTCGTAGTGTAATAGCCAGTCCAGTAATCATGTGACGGGCATTTGTATGGGAAAAAATCGCCCGATAGTGTGGCAGATTCAAGCTTCTCTCGTCTACTGTTCTTTTCTAGAGCATCAAAATACTCCGTGAGAGTTCCAAATCTAAAATTATGATTCATAAGCCATCAAATTATTAACATTCGAATGAAAAATAAAGGCTGGCAAAGTCAGTCATTCAGGTGCTCAAATAAGTTCTTATTCACCATTGCTACATGTGCACGTTTAAAACTATAATAAGACAACATAAAGTTTCACTTTGCTAATTCTAAAGACTAATTCCGAGTTCCATACTGATATTTGATTTAACTTTAATTAATAAGAGTCAGTTTTAGCATTTGCCTGCACATGTCACATACAAGCAGAATAGAATGTAAGAAGTAAACTTTGACCTTATCCTCATGCGATTTGAATGCTTATTGATGTAATCAAAGAGTACTATTAAGTTATCATATTGTTGATGCCATTCTTCTAACAATGCATAACGAAAATCGTCTCCCCAAACAGACAATAAAACATTACTTTGTAGATCAGAAGACATTTTCAGGAAGGATTTTTCCAGTTTCGATGCTCTGTGAAGAAAATTACTTCACCTTACTTCATAGAGATTTCATATCCGCACCAATCAAGCAAAGGAAATATATCGTATTCGATCTGCTATCTTATTAACTATCCATCATAATTTTTGATGCTCTGGTTAGCGATGAAAAGAGTGCGTTTGTTCTGTTGAAGTTACATAGATTCTTAGTGGAGTGAAATTTTGACCTACCTTTCGGGAATATTCGATTGCGTACTTACTACAGGAATTTCGTCTGGACAACCGAAATGATTCAGTCGCTTAAAATCAAATTCGCAACAGATCGCTGCATCTGAACCACAGCTATTTAATATGTCATAATGATTGTAGGGTAGCACTTGAGTGTACATGTCACTTTCACCTTTTGCATCTAAAAATTTTAGATTTTATGATAGATTTATAAGTGGATTTTATTTTCTACTCGTAAAAATGTTTGAAGTTTTTGAAAAATAACAATGGACTGAAAAAAATAAAATTTTTTATTAGCCATTAGAAAGTAGTTTTTTGACAGACTAAAAAAGAATATTAAAAAAGTTGACATCTGTGAAGTCTGAAAAGTACCAAAAAACTGTCTCCAGCGGAATGATAATGCGCCATGCTCGCGCAGAAATAATTTTAAATTGTGATGGATTCGATTTATAACAGCTCGTTTGACGCCTGTGTTAGCGAACAAATACGGGACTGACGAGCTATATCCAAATGGATCATTGGACCACATTACGCGAGCTTGTACATCTATGGATATCGTTATATATCATACCACATAGAAGTCAATTAGTGTTGGAAATTTTGAAAATATCACACTTTCTAAAATTAACTCTCTGTGTGTTTATTCAATAGTTCTATCATTGATCATTTTTACTTTCAGGTATTATTTCTATTCTTAGTTGTTTTCCTACACAGCTTACCTCAATACTTTGTATAAGCTTTACTAAAAAGACCTTCTAGGAATACTTTCAAACCTCTCACAATTTCATAAAATTTTCCCGCCATTTTATTTAAAAAGCTTTAAATGAAAAATATTTTGAAATTCCAGCCCCAAGAAAACTCTTTAAATTACAAAATAAATAAATACACTTCTCAAAAAATAACATTGAAAAATGCAAGAAAATAACACAACAAATAACAATTAAATATCAGTAATTTTTAGCTCAGTCAAAAGGCTATCTCAAAAATTACTCACAATTCGAATTCTAAATTAGTTTTTACGTAATGTAACATTAAAACAAACAGGAATTGACCTTCAAACTACCAAATTACTCTTAAAATACTTTGTTATTTGTTGTTAAGTAATTTGTGACTTGTACTTTTGCTAAGTATGAACGATCAGAAAATTGCGTAAAAGTTCTTAATTTACAAAAAATTATGCATTTTAGATTAATTGAAAAATGAACTAAGTTGAGAGTAAACAAATTGTTGTCCTTCGATAATATTATCAATAATAGAAGGAAAATAAGTGTTTGCTTCATCAGTCATCACCCAAGATCCACTTGCGATTTCTAGCTGTTTGGAAGAAACGAATCTAAACAATATTCTTCTTCAAAAAATCAAACTTTTTATCTTAGTAATTAAAAACTGTATTGTAATGATTCTGTTGAACTTTAAATTATAATTGTTTTTGAACCTCCGCACTAAATTTTTGGTAGTTTCATTTTGTAATGACCACCATCGTTCGAAAAATGCTATTTCACACCATAAAAACCGCATTCTCGGTTTCTGCTTCAAAAATATTACCATGTTGTCAAGAATAGCATTTGTATTATTTAAATAATTTGAAAAAGTTTCTAACCAGCCTGAAATTTTGCTGACTAAATTTGCTTATTACTATCAAAACACTGAAAACTTTTTTAGAAATTCTATTTGTATTTTTGTTCCAGTTATCACAAACTATCATAACTTTTGTGTTTTAAGAATCCTAAAATAACTATCATCAAGAAAATGCTTATAAATAAAGGTAAGTAAGCTCAGACGCAAAGTAAATAAAAAGGTCAACCTGGATCAACATGACTGAAAGGCATGACATACACATCTACTATTGCAGTACTGTTTTTCTTCCTTCTTTTGTAATAATTTTGAGATATTTGGCCTTTTTCATAGTTAATTGCGTCTAATAACATTTCAAATGTCTAAATACACAATGCAAATTACAAATTACAAATAGTGGCAAGTTTTTGATTTCTAACGCAGTTAACTTCTACGGCTTTTAAAACTATTATCTATTCAAAAAACGTTCTGAGAATGAACGAGTTTGTATTTGATCAGAATAACAAGTTTATTAGAACTGTTTTATTCAGTTACTTGTGAGAAATGTATTCATGAAAAAATTCCGAAAACATTAAAAAGTCAATTCAGTGCTTGTTACGACTGTTTTTCTTGGGGTTTTTTATAAGCAGCTCTAAGGCAATCACTTTTGATTTTTTAATGAAAATAAAAATTACAGCAAACGATTATCTGTGCTTATTTCCGGGCAATTTTGGTTCATCAGCAATCAACAATGAGCCATTTACCATTTTAACTACTCTTTTTTAGCGATTTGAATTTGAATAGTTACTGATTTTATTAGACTCTTTATTGCTTACAGAAATATTAAAAAGAAGTAATATTCCTTGTATTAGTTGTGGAAGTGGCAAGAAGAAAAAACTCTTACATTTAGTTCAACTTTTGCTCCTACTGGATATGACTGAGTGCATTCAAATTGTTTGCCACATTTGTTACATTCATGGTCACTATCAGTGCTTATCAATTTGTAAGTAAAATTCATACGAACAGTTACAAATTGAAAAGCCTGAAATTTATTTCATATTATGTCTTACTACTTGAGTATTTTGAGCCTTAATATTGTAATAATAACTGTCATAGAAAATACTGAAGAGACTTAGGGTAAACTTTGGGTAATAGACATAAATATTGGATAAGCTGTATAGCATGTAAATTTATAAAAATGACTACAAAATAACTAACTATCTATAAAACCTGTTTCTTGGAACTTAAAATGATTATTACTACTGCGTAAAAAAGGTAGAAGCAATAAGCCACTAATACATATATCTTACCAGATACATAAGAAATAACGCAATGAGAAAAATGTATAGTTTTTTGTAAATTGAAAGGAGAGAATGAATGCGATATCCAACCATAAATGTTCCACTGGAAATAAATTTGTTAATTATCACAATTTAATGCAAGTGAAAGAAACGAAATTCTTAAATGTTAATAGTTCATACAAGTTGTTAGAATCTCGTCAATATGAAACACTTTCTTATTTCACCAATTTTTTTGCAGGTTATTATAAAGCCATTTATACTGTTTTTAAAAGTAATGATTTGCTTTCAAAACCAATAATAAAGTAACTTTGAATTGACGTTAAGCAAATAATGCAAATAAAACAGCCAAGGGATCAAACTTTGCATTGAAATGAATTAACAAAACCTTTAGTATTGCTTTTAGAAGTAATATAAGTTAAGTGCTGATTAATGTCAGAGCTCAAAGTAATGTCAGAGGTTAACCTACCACATATCATTCAACGTGAATGTAGGACTCAGTAGGAGTGAGTAACAAAGGAAAGAGTAAAAATGTTATTTGCACATTGTAAGTGATTCAACTAAAAACTTGAAACAATTTTTCGCTTGTGAAAAAATGTACGATTGATGCAAAAATACTGAAATATATTTTGATATTTTTGTGTAAACAATGCTTGCAAAATTCATGTGACTTTTTCAGATTTGAATTCTAACTTACAAAGCATTGACTGTTGCAAAAGCAAACAAACAAGACTTGCCGTTAATTAATGCTCGTATTTATCCAAACATTTGCAATAAAATGTGAAAGTAAAGTATTTTTGTGAGTTGCCAAAATAACACACAACGGAATTGTGCTGAATAAATAACTGAGCTTTAATGCTAAATAAAAACAAGCAAGTTTGAGCTTCTGACAAGCGAAAATCAAATTTTCGCTGTGATAGCACAAACCAAGCAGACCGAATTAATTAACTGCAAAAAGTTCGATGAAGTATCTTTTTTATGATAAATGAGCTGGCAAATAATCTTCCGTTGTTGGTAGTTAGTAGTAGTAACATAGCAGCAGTACATTAATTAGGATGATAAAAATCAAGCACTACTAAAGTACTGTATTCATATATATAGCATCTGAAAACCATAATATGCTACTAAATTTCTGCACACTATCTGCTTTCATTTACTAATATAAAATCATTTTTAGTCTGAATTTTATTCATTTCTGTAATGATAAATATTTGAAGTAACGAAAACAGTTTTTTCATATTACTGACAGATTATGAGTTCACTACTTTTTGTAATCAAATTTATTTTTTCGCACTTTAAGATTTTAAAAGTTGACTTTGATGGAGGAGTTTTGTCTGGATAATCTGGGAAAAGGAAGCTCAGAATGAAACGTTTAGATGTACTTAATTATTTGCAAAAGTATTGAAATACTCAAGACAGATTGAGAACTTGAATAAATTGCAATATGCAGAAGGAAGATTCTGAACCGCTCAGTCATGTCTGATCTGTGTGCAAGCATCGACTTACTATGTCTATGGCATGAATTTTTATTTGCTGTACTCCAAAGCAGTTAAAAACACAGTTGTACTAAAGTTGCTAAAACTTATTCAATCATTAAAGCTTATTCATTCCTACTAATTCGATAAAAGTTAAATGCTTAGCTAGTAAAGTAAAAAATCTAGAAAATTTACTGAAATACATTTCTCAACAAATAATACTTTGCCTTCGTGGATATTAAAACTTGACACTGCTAGATATTAATTTGACATCAATTATTCCATGGCCGTTTATTAAGTAAAAGGAAATTTGTTTCTACTAACGAATTAATTTCAATTATGTTCTATGCACAAATTCATGTCTGTTATTGACATGAAGTCTTTCTAATTTTTTCAAAAGTCTATAAGGTGCTTAGAGATTCTGTTATCGTTGTTCAGCAGTGAGTAGCACATTTTCTATTGCTACATAAATTTGACAAGAAGACAAAATTGTAGTGAATTCTTCAGTCAAGATTGCTGTCGAAAATTTTGTGAGCAAAGTAAGTGAATTATTTGATAATAAATGGTATTTTCACCCGCCTTCAAAGTCTTATTTTTGTCAGAGCTAAGGAAGGTATTGTTGGTTAGAAAGAGAAGAATGTGACTGTCTGAGCAGTTATTAGATTTTAATTTATGCTGTACTCGTAATCTTAAACGCTCTTTCTTCAATATAAGTAAAAGAGCACTGTAAACAATCTTTGTAAATATTAGTAAATGTATATATAAGATTGAGCGGGAATGATGGACGAAATAATAGAACAAAAGAAGTGAGCTGAAAACAAATGAAAATAATCTCATGCAGTGAGGGATCATTGGTGATGGCAGCTTTAATGCATCATTAATCATAACCAATCTAGCCTGTAATTAATTAATCTTTCCCTCCAAAAGCACTCCTTAAATGTAACAAGTGAGTATTAATTTAGTTCTGTTCACATCACATACTAATATTTGATGTGAAAAGACAGTGCTATTGATACATGAAATCCTTTTTTGGAGTTAATTTAATGATATGCAAGCATATTCTTCGTTATATACTTGATATACTTCATTAATGTAAACTACCATTTAATGTGTTTCAAGTACAAAATATGAAGCAGAAAAGACGTGCGATTGATCACGCTGATTAATGCATTTGCAAGTAATATGGTGACGCCTAACAATAACCTTAAGTATTACGTTAGAAATGAAAGAGTATACAGTGATTACAAACTATTATTGGGAGATATCTGCACAAAAATGATGCTTATGAATGCAGCACACAGTACAAAAACAACCACATAAGTGAACAGACCTTCGAATAAGTGAATGCGTCTGCTGGATACAACCTTTAAAAATTAAGCACTTGCATTCAAAAGATGCTTATGCGACATTTGTTGCATACAACAATGGGTTTACAACTGCTGGGTAAAAAACTGTAATTGATTACAAACTTTTACTTGCTTATGTACATATATGCTTTTCCATAATTTGACCTGAATATATGTTACTATTTATTTGGTAGATTGAAAATGAGAAATCACTCATGAGGTATCAAAGAGATGCTTAAAATGCATACATACTACACATGGAGTACTGTTTGTCTACAAAAAGGACAAGATTGGATACATAAGTGCTGCAGTGATTTCTCACTTTCAATCCACAATCATCTCCCACATACAAGTACTAAATTTATTAATGAATGCGAGCAACAAACAGATATATTATTTATTTGAATTACATATGATCAAGTAATGAATAGTGATTAACATATTCAAAACTCTTAAAATTTACACAATTTACTGCAACAGAACGGTAATAAATACTACATTTTAAGAAATATGAATTATGAAGTTTCCGACAAAAAATCCATAGCTAAGTTATAATGAAGTTTTTATACTGTACAATTTCATCCATCAAGCAAAAATTTGAATCCAGTCACAGTAAAAAATACAATACTGAACCAAAATAACTTACAGTAGTCTTTTAAAATAAAAAATTGCAACATTACGACAAATCGGTACAGCAGATATAGAAAGCTCATAACCATTATACCATTAAAACCATACCATACCATAAAAACAGTATGATAAATTTTGACAGAAAAGCGATAAAAATGAAAAGTACAGTACTAAAATAAACAAAATATGTAAAACACTTACAAGTAATCTTACTTACTCGAAAGCCTTTTTTCAAGCATCATATACAGAATTGCACAGAAAAAATGTGTATTGCCTATGACAAAAATAATTTATGCAGTGAAATGTAGAGACAGACTTCAATAATCTGTTAGATCAATGAATGAATTTTGCTGCCTCCCAAACACCTCTCCGTCTTTGAAAACGATCGTTTCTGTAGTACCGAGCACAAGTTTACTTTTCCGCGCCAGTGTCAACTTCAGAACTTGAATGGAAGGTAGAGAGCTGAAAAGATTTTCCAGCTCAGAGCATCTATTTCTTCACTTTGCCACCCTTTCCACCTAGTAACTGCTGACAATTGCCAAGCCCAGAAGGAAGTGAGTAGAATGTGAAAAAAATTTTCTGTAATAAGGAAAAGAAATACCACTTTAAATGATGCCATATTTAAGGGAAAAATTTTATGCAGTGGAAAGTAAACAACCCTGCCACGTCTTGCTATCTAGCTCGTTGAGAGTGAGTCATCATTCTATTGTTCTTTTCTGGTTACTATTTTTTGAAGCACTTGCTTCTGATTCAAAACTTTAACGGGAAGTGTTTAATCTTTTTCTCTGCATCATGTACAGCAATACTAAAACTGTATCAACGTTTAAATTCAAACAATTTCAAGTACGATAATGGAAGTGACACGTACATATCAATCATATAAATGTACGTATCGATTCTATAAACTATAGGATAAAAACGATTAAAAAAAGACAGAACTGATATACAATCCAAAAATCAGCATATCTGTGACCGTTAAAGTTCATCACAGTCACAGATATATCACACGATCTTATTAGGAAAAACATCATGCTTTCTTTCAACTGCTTCGTAAACTGCAGACACCAAGTATTTGCAATAAATTTTTTTACATGTGCACACAAATGAACACGATCCTGCAATCAATGTCAAGAACTACGTGCTGAAAAATAACAACTTAGTAATCCAAAATATTCACATTATTCCGAACAAATCAAAAATCGAACTATCACGAGACAGTTAAGAATGATGCTGCGGACACGGCTCACGCACATAACTCATCACTTGAGCAGCAACTGACGCAAATTTACTCTCAGATCCATAACTTTTACATATCATTTGAAAAGCCTGAAAATTCCATTAATATCACGAAACTAACTCAAAACAGTATATTCAAAAAATGAATGTGTATAGGGTGTCGATTCCGCAGAATTCAACAGCAAAAAATAATCAAGCTAAGAAGTTTTGCGAAATATTCCTCCTTAGCTTTCAAAATGAGGCAAACATAAAACACATGGTTTCATGAGCACCAACTGCATTAACAATAAAACTAGTCAGAGCACAAGAATAAAGTAAATATATGATTTCAATTTCGTTACGTCATTTACATATAACGGGAGTAAAATGTAGTCGTTAATCTAAGAATTTTAAAAATATTTTTAAAGATCTCATCAAAAACTAATATTGATAGGCATTTACGTATCAAAATAAGATTGAAGAATTTGCTGATGATGGAGTATAAATGGAAATAATAAACAGTTTGACGCACAAAACTATAATAAACAAACCTTCCGTAGCACACCAAAATATTTTTCGCTTTTCTCTAGATTTAGTAATTTTGCATAACTAAACATCCACACACTCAGACAAGGATAGTTTTCAGGAAAAAATGTTCTGAAAATTAAGTTAAATGAGCTGGAATTCAAAATTATCACATGCATTCAATTTTTCAGAATTTCTCTAGCTACAAAAACGCATAATTTGAATTCAGATCACATAGCACGTAAAGAAATTTTAGACCAACATGAAACTGAGAAGTGTTTTTTCCTTGTATTTGATAGCAACATCGTATTTTTCTTCCTCCACTGCTGCAGATACGATATTTTCTGCAAGCTTGCGAAGATAGATGTTGAATGGTGACAAAATCTTTTCCAGTGAGCAATATAAATCCATTTGCTCATCCAGGCTCTTTTTCGACCATTCTTAAAACATCGAAAATTGAAAAGACAACAAACGAAAAAATAGATTTTACTTTTTTTGAGGTTGACAATACACAGATATTAATAAGTCTTAAATGAATACTTCGAAAGTTTTTAAAGAAAAAATAAAATTTTTTTAGAGATGTTACCATCACTCTTGAATTTCTCAGATATATCTTGAATTTCGTCAAGATCGTAATATGATTTAGCACCACAAACTTTACAAGGCAACTTCGTTCTTGAGTGAACATATTTCTGATTATAAGGACAGTAACCGTCTCTACAATTTTTACACCGAAGAGAGAATTTTTGTCGATCCTGAAACTAGACTGATACAATTCGAAATTGGATAAAATCTCGGACCTCCCAAAAATCGTCTTGAGTTTTTTAAAAATTTGCTTACCAGGTCGATATTTTGACAAACTTCACAGTCACAAGTGAATCTATAATGACTTTCGAGATTCTTCTGCCTCTCACATTTAGGGAATGATATGTCAATATACGAAATACGCAACTACAACTTAAATTTCAATATATATGAATTGATAACTATAATCAATTTTGTTTGAACATTTTTCAACATAGAATTTTTTCCATAATTTAAATATTTATAGCTGTTTTACTGCTCTAACAAATAGCTTAAGTTAAGAATCAAGGTTTAACCTTATCACTATATTCAGTATTGCTTCTTAAGGATCTTAACGCTGCTTTTGTGCCATTGAAAATAACGAATGCATCTGGTTTACAGCTATGATCCAAAACAGAAAGTCTGCAATAGAAAGGAAAAACGTCAAAGTCCTGCAAAGGAATTACAAATTAAAGATGATAAAGTGGTCACACTTTATATGGAGCCAATAATTATATTTTAAAATTTTCGAGCCATTTGAAAAACAAAAAAAATGAAAATAAGCCGACCCTAAATAAAGTCCAGTACCAATTTCTTGCAAGCAACTGTCAGTAATTTTAAAAGCGTTGACAACAATCTGAAATTTATTCACTCGTTCATATAGAATTCCTAAATAATATAATAATCACGCAGCAATTTTGAATTGAGTAATATAAAAATCTACAAGAACTCACTTTAATACACTTATTTTCTAATTATAACAGCTTTAGTACATGAAGTCTACAGTGAAAAAAATATGAGTAAAGAATATAAAACACGAACCCGACAAAATGTAATAAAAATCATCTGTTATTGAAATCATTTTTACTGAAACTAATAGTGAAAAAAGACATAATCTTTAGATCTAGAGACGTATAAGATGAGTAAATTGAAAAGGCATGTTACACAAAGCAAAACATATTTGGACTATTGTGAGATGATTTTGCCAGGTTCTGTTGATAAAGTGAAGAGATTGAATTTATAACTCACTTTACAAAAAATATCGAACAATTCAGATTTGGATGGCATCTGGTTTGGCAAGAAATAGTGTCTGATAACATGTACAATGCTTTCAAAAGCACTTCTTTCTTTTTTATCGCGTTTAAAATCTTCAGCGTCTGAAATGATAATACACATAATTAGAAATCAGTGAAAATTTTGCTTGGAATTTTAAATGCTGACATACAGTCTTTAAAAAATATGACTAAATACTTCAAATATTTTGATGCCATCAGCAGTAAAACTTACGAGTAGTTAAACTGGCAAAAGAACGCCCATTGAAACTAGGTTTATCACCATTTTGCTTTAAAGTTGTGATTATTCGACCGATCAAACGAGGTATTGATCCCGGAACAAGCGGTGCTACGCGTGACAAATAAGAACATTCTTTCTGAAAAATACACACAATAGAAAACTATTTGGAACTGGCTGCTTTGCTCTAAATAAAAGAATCGTGAAGATTTAGAGAACAGTATAAAATTTTATTCTGGAAAATATTTTTTAAATAATTATCCTGCAATTTTTATGATTATGCTGCACTCAAAGTAAGGCTTGTAAGATAATGAAATAGATTTTCTTAGATACTTTTCACGATGAATTCTCAAGAAAGCTTTCGTTACCACTAAATTTATAATAGTTAACTGCAGGAACAAGTAGACTAGGAAAAAAAAAATTAATATATATAGCAGATTTGTAATGCATGCACTGGAAATGATCGTTGTTACTTTCACTTTGCTTAACTGCGCAGTAGTAATATAAAAAAAGTAAATGATGGCATAGGTAGAATTTATTAAACCTTATGGATAGGCCAATCTTTTTTCTGACAATTTAGACCACAGTAATGCGAGAATTTGCATCCACTACACCGCTTTAGTTTATCTTCACAGATCCTCAAAAAACAAACGTTTGTCACTAAAATCTGCAGGACAAAATATATAAATTCCTTTTTACTTCACCCCGACCTTCCGTCCCAATATTATTTATGCATTACTTCGAAATATGTTTCGAATGATGTATAAACGCAGAAAAAGTGCCGGGAAACCTACAGTCAATAATGACTTGAGTCAAGTTCTTTCTTACGAACAGTCCAATTACCTCTCCCAAATTGGTTCCATGCAGTATGCGCAAATTTGTGAGGTAAACTGACTTTCAACTACATGTGCCAAAGGTTGTTCCTCTATTAATAAAAGCGTAGCTGTTTCATCCATCGTACTTCAATAATTCAATAGTACTTCAATAATCTAAAATACTAATAATACTAATAATCACAACAAAATGATTGGATTAAGCACTAATCAATTAACGACACTTCTAAAAAATACCATAATTTTTGAATTTTCCAATTTATCAAAATTTTTAGTTCCTAGTTTTTGATTAGAGTATGCAACTAATGAGTGCAACAAATATGAAACTGACAGACTCCAAAAACATTCAGCGTTATTACCTGCAAAGAATAAATGTGCATCATACAGCACATAATGTAGCCGAAGGATTGCATTTTGATATTGCAATGAAATTGAGAGACTACGCTAAGGTGCACAATATGAAATAAAGCGTAAAGGACTGATAAGTTTTGGTTTACTTTCTTTTTGCCTTATGAAGGCACAGTAACTTTTGTAGAGTAAATTTATTTCGCATTTCAGAATACTACGCTATAAATTGTAGCAAAAATTGCAGCATGAAGGGGTCGAAACAATTTAAATGCGAGTGTCAAATTAGTTACGTGAAATGGCGCATAATTCCTCCGTAATTGAAACGGATAACCAATGCTTTAATACTTTGAGAAAATGAATCTGGCGTGATCGTTCATTTTATGCTACATTAGTTTAATGCAGATAATTCTTCGATGTATTCTTATTCTCGCAAAATACAGAAGAGTATTAGCATACGCTTAAATTTTTGCCTTAAATGAAAATGGAATACAAATATTATTTATGCAAGCACAATCTGCTCACTGCCTTACACGTGTAGTGAATCCCACTTGCAATTTATACTGAGATGCAAATTTATAACTTGTGATAGGTAATCAACTAATTTTGGCTTTGCTGACTCACTTAGATGGATTTATTAAATTTATAAATCCTAATACTGAATAGTTCACTTCTGATCCAAATCAAATTGCTCACGTGACGGACTGACTCATTAAGTGAGTCATTAAGTATACAATTACATGTTCTGCGATTCAACAATATTTAGCAAATAAATAATGCTAAAGTGAGTACGATTCATCCCATACACAACTGTCCTATGAACTTCAGTTTATAAAGAAAATAGATTTCTTCAACTTAATTCATCCATTTAAAATTAAATACTGAATCAGTCTAATAGTATTTTTATGATTTTGATACTCGCGCTAATTTAAACGTTCATCGAATATTTATCAAGGCATGACGTACTTTCCATTACGTATTCACGTTCTTTCTTTTCACGCTAGGGGAATGGTAATGATTAAGACATACTCACGTGCCTATTTCAAATGTAAAAGCAGTAAATAATTGGAGTACGCGTGTATGCGCATTACCTTTTCTTTGCATCTCCCCCTTCTATTTCGCAATCACTATACTCCAATAACCGCGATATGACGATGCGATATTCACTGTATTTTCATTTATTGTGCTGCTCCTAGCATGTTCTGCTGCTTATCAGATTGATCTTAACTTGCATGAGCTTGTAGCTGAATGACGTTGCTCGTAATGTAAAAATACCATGCTGTCGAACAGATTAATTCATAGTGATACATCTCACAGTGAACCCAAATACCGCAGCTTTTCTACCTCACGTGACTATTCACGTATTTCTGCTAATGGTACAAAGATATCTCTTAGAAGCTGCATCATTTTTTGTGAGTGTTTTCAACGATTTCATGCGTTTTAACTTGTGTATCGTAACTTACATTAACTTAGTTTTAATCCCAAAATAAACAAAATTAAAGATAACGTTTTTGCACAAAAAAAAAAATTAATACAATCCTACAATTAGTTGATTCCTTCATCCATTTAAAAAACCTTGCTGTATATTATACATAATACCGCCAGATCGGTGTCACTTGATTGATTCATTTTCTTTAACCCTGTTATTTCTGCTTAGCTAAAATTTGATAAGTATGGACCTTCTTGTATTTGCACCAGAACTAAATTAATTATAAGCGTTTCGTATAGAATAGTTCTGTTGTGATTACGTGTTTGTAACGTAATTTTCATGCTTGTTCTTAACATCTTAAAGTAATTGGACAAACAGATGAATTCAACTAAATTGTAAACATAAATTCCAAAGTAAAAAATTATGCAAAATGATTAGCATATTTCTGTAGCGTATAATTTAGTTCTATGTATATATTATAGTTTTCCTGAAATATATACATATATGATTTCAAGAAGACATTATTATTACCGTAAATAACGCGTCAAAATTGTGACAGCACTTGTGGAAGGTCGAGGCAACGCACGTGGTGAAATTGGACTTGCAAGCATTGATGCTTTATGCAGTGAACTACATATTTTACAATTTATCGATTCAGCATCTTATGCGAGACTTCGAATTCAAATTCAAGTCCAGGAACCTGTAGAGGTTTTTAATTTTAATGTTTTTATCAGGTTCCAACTTTTCAATTAACTTTAATCTCTCATTTAATCATAAGCTAGTTCTAGAAGAATGAACATTTTACGATACACTTTTACCAGAGATATGGTGCTGGAATAGTAATTCACCATTCGTAGCATGTTGTTTCTTTTTTTTCATTCAGTGATCAAGATTTTGCGCAGGTTATTGTCCCAGAAGTATCAGGGGAGAAAGTCAATAGTATGCATACTTTGTTAGAACTGATTCGAAGTACCTATCCAGAAGTCGAAATTACTATGATCAGTCGTCGCTACTTCAAGTATTTATCATATCTATCTGTTCAAAGTGTGTAATTTATTTGTGAAACTAAACTGATTTTTGATTTAGTGATGTGAAAGGAATAGAATTATTACAACAACTTAGCTCACAAGAGTCATCCAATTTGACATCCGAAGTATTTAAGAAGTTAGTTTTTTGAAATTTGTTTGATTCGAGATAATTTGCTCCCTAACTGAATCATTCATGTTCATTTAAATATAAATGATTTATTGAAATTAATATTTTTCAAAATTAGTACTTGAAGTAACTTGATTTATCAACCTAATAATGTTGTCGCAGATTCTTTTTATGAGACTTCCTACTTTTCACAATTATCTGCAACATTTTTTCTAGTAAAAAATTTCATGTATAGTATATTATATCTCCAAATTACAGGTATTACTGTATGGCAGCAGCTGCAGCACTAATTAAATATGTGGAATACATACAAAGTATATTCTTTGCGCAGAATTCGTTAAAAGTTACTTATCTCGTTGTCGAGAAGTCTTGTTTTATGGGTAAGATCGTCATGCATTTTATGTGATTTTTCGAAAATCTCGAGAATCATTTGTCATTGTCCTGTAAACAAAACAGTTGATACATTTCGACTCTAAAAATTATATGTTAAAAAAATTCTGATTTTCAGGGTTAGTATGACCATTTATAAATTGTAGACTATAATCTGTATTACCAGTTTTGCAGAGTATTGCATGAATTACGCTTGTAGTTATAAAACGTCGTTCCAATTTTATATCTCTTTTGATCTATATCTATTTTATATTTTTTTTTAAAATTATATTCATTTGGAGCATTTATCTATTTTACTTCATAATTTTTACTTTTTTTGCAGATGTGAATACAATGAGGAATGTAGAATTGGTAGAACGTATACATTTCAAGCAAAAAATGGCCGGCCGCAGTCTTTTTTCTGTCTTAAATACATGTCAAACTAGTGGCGGAATACGATTACTTCGTAGCAGCTTGCTGCAGCCTTCTGCTGATTTAGAAATGATCGAAGCGCGACTGGACGCTGTCGAAGAACTAATCAGCAACCAGCCGGTACTTTCACTTCTTCAAAAATGTGAAACAAAGAAATTGCTCATGAAGATATTTGACGTAGAAAAAATTTAACAGAAGCTTGATCGACTGCGTATGATCGTTACTGGAGTGAGTGATATGTATCGGTTGATATCAGTCTGTTGTTATGGGGAAACTCAAAAGGAAACTATTCGAATGGTTGAACATCGTATCACTCAAGTACTTATCAGTTTTGCCAAAACTTCAGAAATAAATTTTGAGTGATAAAAGTAGACAAAAAGCTAATTAAATTATTAGTAACAGATTGCGTAGGATATAAGAAAATAAAACCTGATTAATAGAGTGTGAAACTGCCAAGAAAAATTTCGAAAGCTATAAATTATTGTCATGAATATTGTTTTGGATAAGTGATAACAGCACCTAGTCAGAACGATGATTTTTTTAGATTTTGAATCTACAGCAAACGCTGTATCTAATTAAACCGTTACGGGATGCTTTAAGAAACAGTGAAGCTCTTCTTTTCCAGATATGTTACAACGTATGTTTCACTGAATTTGATACATACATTTGAATGGCAAACGAATGTAGCTAACTTTAGTATAGCATTATTTTTCATGAACAGATGTTACAGTTTTTTGGAATTATGAAAATAAAAACTATTTCAGCAAGCATCTTTATTATTATCTGTTATAATTGTTAGTTCTATTCTTACCAATTCCTTGATTTTGATTTATGATTTTGTCTAGAAGAAAACTGTATGAACTTAGATATTCTGTTTACATAAAAAAAGCGATCCAGCAGTATCATGAAATTCTCTTATGGTAATATGAAATGTTATATCAATATTTTTTGATAACTTCGTTAATGTATGCTTTCCTAATTTTTAAAATAAATGTATTCATTTTCGCAGCATTTGAATGATGAACGATTTGAAAGAATTTTGGATGTTTTGAATCGAGTGCTGGATAGAACACATGCTGTAGGAGAACGATCCGCTTTAGCACTGCGGCAAAGACGTTGCTATGCAGTTCGAGTACTTGTTATTTTTAGCATTATTAAAATCATGTTATTTTTCGAGGGCCATGAGTTTCTATCTATACAGATTCAAGTGCACATCATATACATTTTGTAGGAAGGTCTAGATCAGATGATCGATATGATGCGAAAAGCGTATGAAGAACTATTACGAGATATACGCGGTTAGTATTTTGGGATGAAATGACATCTTTTAATTTCATGGAATTTTAAACTTTTATAACAAAAAAGACAAATTTGAAAGTTTGTCAAGAAATTAGATTCAAATGTTCAAGCCATTCCATTGCCTAGGACTAATGCTTTGACCATGTTTTCAGTTAAGCAATGCATTTCCGTTTACCTCATCTTATTTTCGATTCAATTGCAGAAAAGAGTGATGAAGAGAAAATATCAGATGCAAAGCTTATCTATACTGCAAATCGAGGTTTCCATTTTTCTATCCCATGTCCAGATCCGGTTGGCGATATTAGTCTTCCATCACATTTTGTGGACATGGTAAGAAATCGAGCTTCAATATCCTGTACGACTCGTTCCTTACTGCGCTACAATGGTTAATTTTCTCGGGTTTTTGTTAACTGTTAAATTTGATGTTTGAGTTATAGACGGATGAACATTGTGAATATTGGTATTTAGTTATTTAGTTGATTTTTGTTCACTTATAATTATTTTCAAAAAATTTGATGCTTGCTCTAAAACTATGAGTCAAATATTGTTGTTGCAACTTGTTTTTAAGCTTGTTTTTAGTTTAAGGAAATAGTGATTATACAGCTGAAGGTGAAATGCTTAAAAAATATTTATAGAGCGAATTGATGAAGTGGTCAATGAAATATTGATCAGGAGTAATGTGATAGTTGTAGAACTGTTAAATCAAGTAAGAATTTTATCTTTGTAATGTATGAAAATATCTACAGATAGATAGATATTACTGGTGGTATGAAGGATTGTTGGAAAAATATTTCTTTTCAACACTTTCTTTTCAAAGCATTCTCAACATTAGTTGTCCTGGCTTCGCTGTTAAGATTTCAATTTAATTTAGAAATGAATTCATTTCAATCAATTTTTAGATTATATTTAAAAGCGTTTTACACAGTTTTCGTCAATTTGTATTTATTTTTTCAATTTTTGGAAATTGATTGTGTAACATATGGCAAAAACATTACTGAATGTTTAGATCCGTCCTCTGATACCATGTTTGTACCATGCTATAGAAGCAGTCTCAATTGTGGACTTTATTGCATGTTTAGCAATGTACGCTACAAAAATCCCGACAGGTACTATTTGTAAAAAAAAAACCAAAATATCATTATGAGTGAAAATAATTTTTGCCATTACTTTTAGTTCGGCCTTCGTTTACTCCTTCAGTATCACTGATCATCAAACAAGGAAGACATCCAATACTAGATTTCGCTTCTGAAAATTTCATTCCTAATGATGCGGTAAGTCTTTTAGGCTCGAATAGCGAGACTCTAGAAATTGGATCTTGTCCATTTGGTCAAAATATTATCTAAATTAAAGCCATAAATCCTGAAAATCCACCCATGCATATATTCCAGGGCAAATATTATTCTTTAGCATATTTGAATGTATATAATCCATATAAACGTCATTGATTCCATCTTCAAGCTAAAATGATTTCGAATGTGGTTAAGAATAACGATAACGGTTTATGAAGTAAAAGAATATTCATGTACATTTTACTAAAAAATGGCCTTTTGAATTTCTTATATTTTTTGCGCAGCTTCACAGTGTCAGTTTGATTAGTTATTCATTAGAAGTAATAAAAGCATGTTTTCATCAAAGACGTACTATTTATTGCTTCTTGGAGCACTGCAATTCCTAAGCGCTTTCAAGATTTTAGTATTTGTCACTCGAGTCCAGAGTGGATATTATCACTGGTCCTAATATGGTAGGTCTCTTGTTGGTGTTCACATTAAGAATGCAGGATTGTTATTTCAAACAGTTTTTTCGCATTCGATTAATTAAGTAGGTTTCATTTATTAGAAAAAGAGGGTCATGAATGGCGGTAGCTTGTAATTCAAAGGGCTTGAAAATTTATTAATTCCGGAATTGAGAAGTTTTCCTCAGGCTGGAAAATCGACTTATTTGAAGCAGATATGTTTGCTTCAAGTTTTGGCACAAACTGGAAGTTTCGTCCCTGCAGAAATGGCTGCATTTCCACTGCTAACTCGAATATTTTCACGAATGGGACATAATGATGATCTGACATATAATCTATCTGCTTTCGCTCTCGAGGTAAACTGTTAGCTGCAATAATATATCACAGTTTTTGAAAAATTTTGGAAAAACAGTCCTCCTTCAATCTAGTTGTGAATCTGTTCAATCAAAGTCATAATATTGAAAATGCTGAAGGTTTTAAATTGTTTAGATGTCAGAAATGTCTCCGATTTTGCGTTCTGCCGATTCTCTTTCACTCGTTCTCATTGATGAGTTAGCTCAAAGTTAGTGATTTTCATTTTTTGATAAGCAGGGCGAATTTTCTTCGTTGATGAGTATAAAGTAATAGAGTGACAATTCATATCGAAAGCTCTTGCTGTTGATATAAACTTTCTAGTTTTTACATGTATAGTTTTTAGGCACTGCTTACGAGGAAGGTCTAAGTATTTGTTTCGCTATTTGTGAAGAACTCTTGAAAAAAAAGGTTAAACATTCGAAAAAATTCAAGTTCAGTCAATGTTTATAGAAAGATGAATGTATATTTGACTTTGAAATCAGTTAAAATACAAATTTACACAATATGATAATTGTGAACATCATCTTGAAACTTAGTTTACACTTTGGATTGATCTTCTATAATTTACAAGTCGTCATGGGGAAAAGCAATCTTGCAAAAGTAGTCAAATTACAGGCGTATGTTATATTAGCAACTCATTATCTTGATTTGGCATCCATGGCAACATTGTATCCAGCTGTTGATAAGTTCTGCTTCTTCCATTGTTTATTATTTAGTAGACAGGAAGACCCGTTCAAATTAAAAGTGACTAAATTCCACAAATGATTGAAAGGTTCTAAAAAATGAAAGTTAACGTCCAGAGCTAATGATCTGAAGTTGTGTCGACTATTATAATGCTGACTTAAATTATGAATGTTACCTGTAGAAACTGAATTCGTCAAAAAAAAGATTGTTATTTAAGTCATATGTGGCGAATTTTGTTACTGTCAAATGACTTTTTTCATTTATTATATTTAATTATTCGAATACACATATTCATTTTAGCTTTCATTTCCCAGCAACTACGATAAAAATTACTCAAGATGATGGCAGTGTTATGGAGAAACTTGATTGTTCTCACAAACTTTGTACTGGTCCATATGATGGTCCTATTTATGGTAAATAGTATGTCACTAATTTCAGATTTATTTTAGTAATATGAGAATGTCTGATGGCGTTTATTTTACAATAGTTTTTTTTTTTCAGCATTCAATTTGGCTAACCTTACAACATACCCACGTGAAGTCCTGAATGAAGCTCATGCATTAGCGACATCTCTACGAACGCAACGTAATCTTACTCTACAAATGGATGATAGGGCCCGCCGACGTCGTGCAATCGTTCGCTTTGCTTGCAAACTGCGTTCCATGTTACCGATTCTAGTGAATACCGAAACTGTCACAGCTGCAAATTATCTTACAAAATTACGTGATCAGTTATTTAGTGATTTGCCTCCTTTAGATGCCTCCAAATAGTAGCAAGTCTTGTGATATGTGAATGTCCAATTTCTTAAAATGCATGTCTTGCATTTTTTATGAGAAATGACAACGCCAACGACATATTACTGGTATTTTTCTTCATATTGTCCTTGGCTTGTCAGGAATTGTAATACTTTGTGGTACTGTGAATTAATCTTCAGCACGTGGTACTACAGGAAAATAGATTTGGAATGCATAACGTACTCAAAATGCAGTGAACTTTACTGTTTCCGTTAGATTTGTTAATTGTTACATTTCTACGAAACCTACCTGTAAATTCTTTAATTTGTTTAAAATGTACAAGTAATTGTAATTTCCTTCCTAATTAAACTTACGTAATTCAAATTTGTCAGTAGCTTTAATGCATTACTACGACCGAAGCATTTTTCATTTTAATTAACGCCCATCCATATTATGGAGATAGAATTTTGCAAATAAGTTGACCTTATTCAACTAGATGTTATTCACAACCTTTGTGCAAAACTTTCAGCAGAGTGTGGCGTGTCGCCAGATGCTAGTTAATTTCTACTATTTGTTGGCCAATATTAAAAACGCTTCAGAGAGGTCAAGCTAGAATTCTGCAATCGCAACACACAATTGTGAATTTTTCGCTCATTAGTCACAATTTAATACTGCAGTTTGCGTTCGGTTTTCAGTTTTCTTCCTGACAAATGACGGAATAAGTCTTGCAGCTGCAACTCAATATAGGACTGTACAAGTTGCCAAGTTTTGCTCAAGACATTAAATGTCATTGACAGTTCCCTAAAGCATGATACTTATTAGCTGCAGCTGTAAATACCTTATCTAAGACAAACGGTAATACTCAGCCAACCTTGTTAATTTGCGACAAGATCATGGTTAGGAACTCGGTCCTCAATATTTGATGCTTATGTGTATGCGCATTGTGACTCAAAAGGCTGCAACAGTTTGTAAACACATGAAACGAACACTTGTAGTCAGTCATAATGTGGTTTTGATATATACACTAAAATGCTATCAGTGTAACACATATAGTTAACTCTGCTGTATTTAATTACTTCCTGTTCTCTGTCTATGTTTCAATACATTCTGCGGCGACCAAACTGGTTTAACGAGAATTTATTTGACTTAGTGGTGAATAATGAATTTCACTTGGGCTAATGAACTTGCAAAGAATGCTCTGAAAACAGCACAGAAACGAATCGATTCTGTTCTTGATATCACGGCAGAAGACGAAGTTAGTTTCGCAAGCTTTGATGCATGAATAATTTTACAAGTTAGGAGTCTTACACTTAAATCTGTTAATTGAATAATCAGATTGCTGAATTGCGAAAAATAGGCTGTTATTCATTAAAATTGCTGAGATCCGAGAATTTAAATTGTTTTGTTAAAAAAAGTTCTAATTGATCAGCAGTGATTAAATGATACAAACGAATCACTTTTGATTGATTACAGAGTTTTATCCATAAAATTTGTTTTTTGAAAACATGGTTTTTAGCCTACTGTATATCAGCTGTTTATAGAAACAGTTAAATTTAGGCAGAGAGCGAAGAAGCAGTTCACAATGTAATAATTCCGTCTGTAAATGAATCGCTAGAAGAGTTGCAGCTGGAAAATCATGACGTCTGGAATGAAGCCAGCACTTCCTTTTGCTCTGTATTTGATGGAACATCGGTAAGCAATCTATATATTTAATACTTTTCCATTTGTAGTTGTTAACAACACTTTTATTTGTGCTTGCAGACAGTAGAAGTTGTTTGTTCCGAACCGAACCCAATTCGTGACAATGACCTCGCCGAACTACTGCCATGCTCACCATGTTCGGTAAGAGTATGTAAATTATTTTGGAAGATTATGTCTTCTATATTTTTTTTTCGAAAATTTATTTATAAATCAATGTTTCATGTCAATGCACCATTGTACTTACTATACACTCCTTTTTAAAGTGTTTCAGGGATAGAAGTATTTAGCTTGAAAACTGTTAACATTTTATATCGGCGTCATTATTTTTAATTGTGACCATCCAAATTTGTTTAAGACATGAAGTAAAATAGATTAAGAAGACAACGAAGCGCGAGTTGTACTGATTATTAATTACATTACTTTTGCTTTTGTTTGTGTCAAATTATTCTCAGTCAGTGCATAAATTTTTCATAGAATTCTCCTGAAGAATTGGTCTGTAGTGTAGGAGATCAGGATGTACAGGTTACAGGTGATGTTCAGCAATCAAATGGATTTTCGAAGGTACGAAGTATTAACTAGTCAGAATAAGTATATTACAGTTCTATTGTGTTCAGATATTTAAATTTGCATACCTTATATCTGAAGAAATGATAATATATTAGCTTATTTTTTTTGGACTCTCATCTTACTAAATATTCCTGCTCTGGAAGTGGTTTTGCTAATCGTTTTCGTCGTTTAATTAGAAAATTATTAATTTGTATTGTGCTCTTTCGTTTTTATCTGATTCCATTCAAAACTTTTACAGTTAGAACCAAATGTCTTGGAAGATACAAAACACGTTCTCGTCGAAAAATCATCTCAGAAGACTGACAAGCATCATGATGATACCTTAACTCTGATATCTAGTGATTTTGAAATACTTCGTCCAGGGGATGCTAGGTATATGTGGTTATTGTGTATAATTTTATCAGTACGTGAAAAGATATGTTAGCTTCAAATATTCAAGTGTTTAAATCCAAATGACTAGTACGTCTTAAAAAAATGATTTAATCAATTCAAACATTTAACATTTGTCTTTGCAAAACATGTTTAAACACTTTCAGTTCAATGGTAAGTAGTGTTCCAAAAATTCTTCCAGTATTAAAAGAAAGCGCTCTAACAGTAACAACACTGACAGAAGTTGTAAGTTTTCTTGGAAAATGCGTTTTCATTTCCTTCAGTAACCTTGATTTCATTGTTCTGTTACATGAGCGCGAATTTCTGCTGTCGGAAAATTGTTTACGAAACTTAAAGTCTTTCATTGTTCACTGATTTCCTGCGTGTTTTCATGTGTCGCTGATGTAAACAAGTTTTCTATTGACTTCATTTGAACGAACGCTAATTAGAACTTGAGATTCGTCACAATCATGATAAAGCGTATTTATTTTTTTCAAGTTAAGATATCTGGTTCATCAGATTTAGTTTTGTATTCTAATTAAAGTCGACAAATATGAAATTATCGTAGACGAAGGAAGGAAATAATGGTAATTTGGTCGACAAACAAGCGGCTAGTGCTGATATTATGCACTTGAAGACTCAACTTCAGTATCAGGAGAGAAGGATTCGAGATCTTCAATTTCAAAATCAAAGGTTGGAGGCAAAATCCAATGAACTATTAGCTTTGAAAGCAGTGCGAACACAACAAAGGTATATATAATGAATTTCAGTAATTTTTTTGAAATACGTGGAGTTATTCTTATAAAATTTGTTTAGTTCGACGGAAGCGAAACTCATGAAAATATTGAGCGAAAAGGAAACGAAGTTAGCAGATCTTTTACGCGAAGGTAATTTTGGGACTTATCTAATCTGTTTGTTGCAAAAGTAATGAATCAAATTTAGCAAGTCGGTTTAGGATTACTATACGTCAAACTTAAATATAGGTGAAAAGTTAGCAGAAACAAATGGAAAACTAACAAAGGAGTTGAAAAAGCTTAGAAACAACCTTGTTGAGCAGGAACAGCTAGCGAAGCAGAATGATGAAATGAGGACTGATCGTGATCTTGCTTGTGAAGAAGTACGAAGCCTTACTGCTGAGACCACAAAATTGCGCAGTGAGTTTTTTTTTTCAAGTCTAGTTAAAGTACCTTGTGTTTTATTTATAGTATCTTATTGTTAAGATTTGGTAAAATCGCTGGAGTCTGATTTGGTGAAATTAAAGCTGTCAAATGACAGCCTAATTGCTGACCTAAACAGGAGAGATATAGAAATCAAAAAACTGGAGGGCGAGATCCAGCAGTCGGAAGCTAACCGCGAATCAGCCCTTAAGGAAGTAAAGGTAATATTAATCACTGATGATCATTTTTAAACAGTATTTTTAATTCATCAATACTTTTTTTTTCGCTTATCCGCTCATTTCCACATTCGCTTTTGCAATAATTCGCTGATCAGAAAAACTTTGCTTGCGTGAATTCGCTTTCAGTCCATACTTCTTACAGCATGAATGTATCGCAGCACTCATTATGTCTTTTGGTATAGTCATGATAGAGCGGTGATCCATCGTCTTCATACGTTCCTTGAAATTTGAGGGCATACTTTTGTCAGCTCTAAACATATTTTTTTCTTGGAGGGGACAGTATCGCGCTTAATATTTTAAGGTAGTATTTCCTTATTGCAGTTATATTGATGGCCATTGAGATTAGTCCATCATCCCCCCTCTTTGCATGACTAATTGTTAGGATTCCCGAGGTTATACATAGTCTTTAGATAGGATACAATATGTCTCATCGTATTAGTTTACTTAAACTTGTAGCGTGCTCATTCACCGCCTTGATAAAGTTTTTGCAATTTAGTGCAATTGTTGGTAATCTTCAAATTCTTAGTGAAATCCTCAACGGCTGCAAAGATCTTGAGACCATCCATAAACCGTAGGTAGTTGGTTATGTGTATTTTTTAGTCGTTGGGAACCTTCGCTTTTGGGTACTTCACATCAAGCTGATGGCTTAACGGATCCATGCACAAAACGAATAGCAGCGAAAAAGCTCTCATTTTCAAGAATTCGTTGATGGTTATCCATCACAGTTTCTCCATTGTTTTCTAGCACAACTGACCATCTGAATGTGATGCTTCCTAGAAAGCTGATAATCGACGCTGGTGTGTCAAGTCTTTTAGTGTACTTTATCATATACTCGTGACTAACTTGATCGAACGCTTTCTGACGTTCTGCCACGCAGTGAATAGCTGGTTTCCATGCTATCGGTGTATCGCCAGGTGCTCTTATACACTTTGAACCTAGTTCCTAGTTGGTTGTCTACAAGTAATTTTTTTTGGCGACATCCAGTTGCATGTTTTGTGCCACATATTTCGTTGTCAACTTGTAGAGGCTTTGACAAACAATGGTATCAACTTCTTAACAACAGGTTATAGGCCTGAACTTGCTACCTTTGTTTAGTACATTTTGAAATCAGGTAGGTTGTTATTTTGTAAAACCATGGATCCTGTTCCTCCTCATCGTAGCAAATTCGTCTTATTATTTCGTACAGATTTGGATGCAAGGAGGTACTTTTTAATAAAGAAGTTGCAGACTTCGGACCCTCCGGTTCCTAGTTGGGTGGATAGGGAATGTGTTTCCGAATTCAGAAACGAAAATATCGCACACTTCATAGTCTGGAACGAATTCTTCCAGATATTCGTAGTGCCGGATGTCATTATCTCCAATGTCCTAGTTCTATATCATGGTCCGGAACTCTCTAATTTCACCTGTCCCTGAATTGTGGCTGAGAAGGTGTTCTTCGATCAAATTCCTATAAAATCGTCTTCTAAAGGGCTCACATCTGGCGTTTTCGAATGCACATCCGAACTTATAACTTGTAATTTTACTTTCATTAATTTCCAGACACTTTGTCGACATGCTTAAAGCTTTTAGCTTTATCACAGTCATGCTTTAGAGCGTGTAAGAGATTCAAACCCCACATATACTCAGCCTTTCTTAGGCTTTTACTTTTAGACGTTTCACCGGCCAAATACTGCTTTTTGAGTGCCTACCTCCTACGTTGATGGCTTCTTCTTCCGCCTTATTATATCTTCATAGCTTTGTTGTGCCTTTCTGAAGCTGCCTTGCGAGATCAATCACTGACTTGATTTCTGTATAGAATATTCAAAACCTAAGACTCGTGTAGCGTAATTTCCTGAAAAAGATGTTACGTATCTTAACACGATGCGTTGGTTTCTCCAAGAACCGTTTCCACGAGTACGGAAGACTTACAATTTCAGTGATCGGAGCATTCACTTGCTTTTTCAGTTCTTGAGGACTAGTCGCACACACGAACTTCGCGATACAGGAACGACGCAAAGGCCATTCCTCTCTCGATATCCTTACGAGGTCAAGAATCGTCTTCAGCACTTCGTGGCCAGCTGTTCTGCGAAACTTCGATTCCTTAAATGGGTACTTTAAGCGTAATGGTCATTAGTTCCGATACAGTGGCAGAGTGCTTTCTCACTTCCTTCACGGATCTTTCTCCAGCTGCGTCTATTTTTCCATCGTTGTTTACTATGATTCCAGATGTGCTTTTTCTCCTTTTATTCTCCATTTCGTCGTCAAACTTTTTATACCTGACTCCGTGTCAAGTAAACAGCATTCTTCTGCTTTGGGGTTTTCCAGTCATTGAAGCAAAGTCTTGATCTCTGTTCTTCCTATATCTGCCTCGCTTCTTAACTTTCCCTGTTTCGTTTTCTTTCTTCGGAAGTACTAAAAAGATTTTGTGTGATGTTTCCGTTATGGTCCATTATTTTTTCGAATCTTGGCTTGAAAGAGAATTCTGTGGAGTCTTGCTTGTGTATGAGTAATTGGTTTTTGTTTAAGAACTTGCAAGCTGCTGTTGAGGAAGTTTCAAGTCAGGTAAGGCAGAATGAAATGTCGTCAAGGAATGCGCAAGAAATCACTCAAGGTCATTTATTATTTTGTAGTATATAATCATGCTTTAAATTCTAGTTTGAAATTTTAAAAAAAATTTGTGATAGAAGTATGTACAATATTCAAGAATAATCAGGAATACTATATTATGGAAACGTACATTTGACGACTAAAGAAACTACTCAATAAATGTAGGTGAATACTGAACCACAGTGTAGGAGTTACTGACTTTCAACTTTTTGGTGTTGTTGCTATTGTTACAGAAACACTATTTTGTGCCACAGTTGCTCGCGCATATTTCTGACCATAAGTTGCCACAGAAGATTTTTGTAATTTTCTAACTATGCACATTATTAAGCCTAACGAATTTTCTTAAATTTTGAATATACTGTAGGACTAGCAGCAGAGTTGCATGAAGAGAAGAAAGAAAATGAACGTAAGACAACTTACATAAATTCGTTAGAGAAGGTTTGTTTACCGTATATCCTGTTTTTATCTGACATTTGAAACAAGTCATAACTTTTCGAATTAATTAAACATGATGGTATAAAAATTAAATGTTATCAACATATTTGTAAAATTGTATACTGGAAGATACGGGACTAGTTTTTCAACATTTTTTTAGAGACTTGAAGAAATGATGGAACTACAGCAAAAAAATGCTCAAGCAATCGCCTCTGGTATGTTTTGCAGTCTCTTAACATTTGAAAATATTTAAATTATCAATTATTTCAATGTAAGTTCAGATAACTTGTTTTTAATTTAGTTAGTAATCCGTTGCTGGAATCAATACAAAATTTGGAAGAAAAGATTTCAATGAAAGATGATGAATGTGAGAAAATTATACGCCAAAACCAAATTTCTCTCAAAACGTTGAAATTAGAGAAAGGTGCTCTTCGCCGTATTTTGCATACATTTTAAATTGAATTGTCTTCGTACAATATCTATTTTCATCATACTCTTTAATTTATAACAGTTATATTCAAGTGTGTTTACATCTGTTTTTATCTTTCCTTAAAATAATGCTGTAGTTTTAAGTAAAGAAATAAGTTTGCTTTCTTTGATATTTCAAAATTTGTCAGAAAACGTACAGTGCGAAAGCGAACACTAAGTTTCAAAAGATTGAGCTTTTGTTTAGTCTGTGTATTGATTACTTCATATTTTCAATGTAATTTTTTCAGACCAGCTTGTAGTGGAAAATGAAGATCTAGCAAGAGAAAATGAAAAGGTGAGGTTTTAAACTAAATAATTGGCTATTATGTATTGTGAGTTGTGTTCAATTAACTGTTTATTATATTTCTTATTAATTTGTCTTCTGATTTTACGTTCAGATCTTCAAGTTGTTCTCATCTGCAAATCTATTCAATGTATGTAAAGTGAGAATAGATATTTAAAAAATTCGTGAAATCAGAAAAAAGTAGGAGAGGTATTTTAGAGATTTATGAAGCACTGATGGCAATTATCTTTGTTTTCTTTGAGAAGTAATTCTCTAAATTATTTTGTATAGAATATCTTTTTATTTGTGAATTTTTTATTTTTCTTACTAGTTTTGATGGAACTATCATCATATAGTTATTGAATAATGCGTGGGTCTCTCTTATTTTTTAAGTTGGTGATTTCGATTTCGAATGGGTCGTCTTGAAAATGTGAACTGAGAGATGCCGAGGTTTTTGGTCATTTTGAAATGATTTCTAGTTTGATTTATTGCCGAAGCGTCTATGAATTCACACTTTGCAGAATGGAAATGATACTGATATTGAACAAGTAACAAATACATGTGTCGAAAAAATGGAAAAGCAAGCAATGTCAAAGGAAGGAAATTTAAAAAAAATGAAGACGCGATCAGATTTCATCTTCTTAAATGAATTAGGTGAAGGGTCATTTTCAACAGTTTATCATGTCAAAGAAAAAAGTACAGGGATGGATTTGGCTGCTAAAGTTTGTTTTAAGAGGCAAATAATTCGTGAAAAGAAAATTGACTATATTTTCCGAGAAAAAGAAGCACTGATACGGTTGACGCAAGGAGGTAGAAAGCATCCATTCATACCCCAAATTATGTGCACATTTCAAGATTCTGAAAATCTTTATATAATTATGACTTTAGCCGAGAAAGGTGATCTACAAAAATTGTTGCGGAATTCAGGCGGAAAATTAAGTTTGGATGTGACGCGATTTTTTTGTAGTGAAATTGTTGTGGCATTAGAACACATGCACTCGCTGGGAATAATTCATCGTGATTTGAAACCAGAAAATATTTTGATCACTGTATCAGGTCATATTCTTATTACTGATTTTGGTTCGTCAAAAATCCTCGATCGGAAGGAAGATAAAGAAAAATCCGAAATGCGGAGACGGCGAACTTCCTTTGTTGGCACAGCGCAGTTTGTGAGCCCTGAGGTACTAAAAGGTGAATCAGTTCAACAAGCATGCGATTACTGGGCTTTAGGTGTCATAATTTATCAGTTGCTTGTTGGTGAGCATGCTTTCCACGATAAAAGTGAATATCTCATTTACCAGCGGATCGTAAATGCATCCTATAAAATTCCTCATGATTTTCCGGAAAGTGCTGCAAATATCGTGAAGAAGTTATTAGTTGTTGATGTAAGAGATCGTTTGGGTTCAATCGAGTCTGGAGGCGCTAAATCTGTGAAAGATCAATCATTCTTTACTAACGTTAACTGGGATATAATTACCGAAACTGAAGCTCCACAATTTTTGTTCACTTCGCGAGATTGATTGATGTATGACTTTTATGTGCTCCGATGGTCTTTCTAGTAGCATAGTTTCACTAAATGCTGGTATTTGTAAATATTTGTCCTACTTGGTATTTGTATAAGTTGTCAGACTTAATTATCTGTTCCAGAGATTTTAATGCCATTACATTGATGTTCTTGCTTCTTCCCTTCTCTTCTTCATGCCAGTATTTTGGATCTCTATCTTAGCTTGCATTTGTTAGGTGGGCATGAATTCATTCATTTGTAGAGCTGAGCATTCTGATTATATCTTATTTGCTTCTGGTAGTAATGCACTCATGAAATAACTTGAAAACTTGTCTTAACTTACGACGTAGTGAGAGACTGGTATCGCAGCTTGTGTAACTAAAGTATTCGGAGAATCATTTAAGTGCTTTTCATGTTTCGTTTTTATTGCTTATCTTCTAGTCTTTGTTGTTTGCAATAATTAAATTGCCGTTAAGGAGTTATATTTCGAGTGTACTGGAATAAATTATGGCTCTGATATATAAATAAACAGCTTTGCAAAATATTTTGGATGGTACCGATGAATGGCAGTTAAATGTTTCTTGACTCGTACTTGGTGCTATCAGTTTCTTACTCACAAACTGTCAGTTTCTTCACTCACAAAACGATACATTTGTTTCCATCTCAGTGCTTTCTGCGTTGCATTTTTAAAATTGTGAGATTCTATCAACCTTTATTTTTGATAGATTGTTTATATATTTGCTACGCTTTAGTCCTGTAATTTCATTTATTCTCAAAAAGAATTGATGAGCTTAAGTGTCCTCTGTCTCATTATAAATGTAACAATGTTACATGCATAGGAAATTCTGTGGTAGCAACTTGATGTTACTCGAGAGCAAAGAGCTGGTAGTCGACATATGTATGAACCGAGTAGTAGAAAAAAGTTATATTTTACACCTACTACACAAATAAGCTTAGAAAAGCGTAGTCAAGTCAACATTGGAATATTTCAGCTTCGAGAATGTCTAGAAGATAAAACGAGAGCGACAGAAAAATTGGTTGATCGGATTCAGTCGATTCAAAAGCATAACTCGAGGTTAAATTGGATTTGATTGGTTTTTTCAGTTGCGGTGTTGTATGAAATATATTTGGACTGGGAATTATATCTATTCTAATTTTGATATATATACTTATATCGACGGTATTAATTTTTTTCCCTCATTATTGATTCTAGCGCTGTATCGTATTGGCACTCTGTCTATTCGCAGCCTGTGTTCAGTTCTGGTACGCTTGTCTCCCTTGCTTCATCGTTGTCAAATCTTCGGCGGTGATCGAGTAAAGTGCTTTCAAGCGTTCATGAGCACTTTCTATTGAATATATTCCTCGACATGAGCAGATATACTGATTTTCTCGTAGATATAGGTATCGCTGTCATCCCATCCTAAGTCATCACATACAATTATTTTTCCAGCATTTCATCTCTTCGAGTTTATTACTGAGTATACTACACTTTCGTCCTTTCTCGGTCTCGACTACTCTCAACTAGTCCAAGATAATGATACCAACTTCTATCAGGATTACTTCATGTCGTTATCATGGATCATGATATCTGACCGGTCTAAACTATTCTGGTTCTGTTCTTACTCGTATATCGAGATTGATGTCTTCACTCTCATTCCTGAACAAATGGCTTTGCATACACGGGAATGATTTCAGGCCATACTTCTTGCAGAGAGCATTTTCTCTCTCTGCGTTGCCAAGCGGTCCACCGTCTTCATACGATCCCTACAATGTAGGCACATACCTTTTCGGCTCCATTTATCCCTACAATGTAGGCACATACCTTTTCGGCTCCATTTATATTTCTATCTTGGAAATAGCAGTATCACTCTTCACCTTGTGAGGTAGTGTTTCATTATCATAGCCACATTATTGAATTTTTCAGTGGCGCTACTTTATTACCCATTACTTTGCATGAAAATTTTTCTTTTATAATTCCCTATGCAGAAGCGCTTTCTGAGTTTCTGTTAGATCTCACTGGTTGTATTGTCTATAAGACTCTATTTAGACTGAAGTTAGGATACAATAACTGCTTAATACTTGCTGTGAGCCTTCTCCTGCTTCAAAATCGCCTTCCTCCTGGTAGACGAGTGTACTATCTACAATTACATTATGGAGCTGCAGAAGCATGAGTTCACTCTTCTGTTCAACATATCCTAGCTCGTTCCTTCGAATGTTCAGAAAAAACATGCAAGTTGATTATATATTCAGTATTCATTTAGTAACTGACCAATATCGCAGTCTAAGCTTTCTTCTGGTTCTACTCCATTGTAATAGTTTATTAAACATGTGTCGTGATCATTTACTCCTCGATAAAGTCCTTGCACTTTGGCTGATCGTTCAGTTTTCATAGGTTCTCTTTGTGTGTTGCTTATGATCATTCAAAATGTGTGGTGTAGTCTAATTTTGGACTATGGTTGCTGTTATGCTTTGTTCTTTGTTGACTCTAGTCTCAAAGAAAATTTTTCAGATTGGAAGTGAGCTCATCTAAACTTGTTTTAAGAGTGGAAGATTTGACGAAAACGATAAAGGAGAAAGAAAATGAATTGGGAGATATTCATCAACGACTGCATAAAGAAACTATTGCATTACAAACTTGTGTTACAGAAAAAGTGCGCTTTAAAATTTAGTACAGTTTGCAGATCTACTTTTGTTACCTATTCCTCGTTCATGTTTACAAGTAACTAAAATGATTGTGAGCATTTCATTTGTATTTGAATTTCATGACCGGAGGACAGAGTGGTGAAAAAAGTTGAATGAAAACCAATGCAAACTGATGAAAACGATTTTATTTCAGAATTTGCAGCAAAAAGAAATAGGTGAATTGAGAAAGCAACTCGAAGTTTTGGAAAAAGAATTGTATGCAACGAAAGTCCATGCTAATAATGGTCACCGAGAAAATAAGAAGATGGAAAAGGACTGGGAAATCGGGGACGCCAGATGTTCCTTGTTACACATAACAGATCATGCGATTCAGGTTAGTTCTTTCATTTGTAATGCTAAATTCTCTCAGAATTTTTGTTTAGCAAATTCAATATTTAAAAAAATGAAGAATACATTATGCATAGTTCGCTTCATTATTCTGTTGACATCCACTTTCGTAATAAGTTTTACATTTTGCGCATTTGTGAAAATTCTCATGATGTTAACGGGAGATGGAATGTTCACAATAATTTTTAAGGCTTAACTGTTATATTACTTTACTTCGAAAACCTTCGTTCCATGACTAGAATCCTCTTTTATTGTATGGCTCTTTATCAGATGTATCTTGTTATCTCCTTCACTTCCGCAAAAAAAATTCCTTCGGATTTCACTCGTCATTTTTCTAATACATTTTACACTATATGTAGCTGTTTAAGATAGAGCTAGCTGACATATTAGCGAAATATGAACAATCCATGCGTCATATTTCTGTGCTTGAAGAGAAAATTTCTTTATTGGAAGCGGATAAACAACAGCTGACCAATGTTCGCCATGAGTTACAGGTAAGTAATTAGTTTCCCTCCATAAAACGTTTTGAAAATTGTTAGGTTGCTATGTTTGTTTATGAAGACAGTTGGTTCCACCATCCAATTTGTCATCTATTAAGGATCTGAAATAATTCGAATCATCGAAACTTCAAGATATTTGATAATCGCTTATTTTTCTTATTTGCCCTTCTCTTACCCTTGAAATGTTTTTACTGGGTAAGTTATATTTCTGTTCAAATGCTCAAAGATTATCAAATCCATACTTCTTATATATGCAAGCATATAATGACAAGCAAATGATTTTGAGAAGTTGCAGACACTAAGATTGCACCATGAAAATTTATTGGTGGCACATGGTGAAAAAATCGAACGAATCGAAGAACTTGAATTAGATCTAGCTGACGTGAAAAAACTATTCAAAGATCAGGTAATTCCAGCTGTTTGGTGGGTAATTAGTTGATATATTAATATAAGTTATTCTCCGTATATTTGAACTTCCTGCTCAGAGAATATTGAAAAAACGAATGCATCTAAAGATACTTTGATATTTAACACGATACCAAAAACATTTGATATATTTATTTGATATTTTCTGTCGGTAAGATAATCGTAATTTTCATTTCTGTTCGTTGTCAATATAGCTCACTTAGCCACATTGTTCATGTCTGGTGCTCAGCAAGATGGATTTCTGAGATCATTTTTTAGATGGAGTATTTTTTGGGGAGAAGTTGATATCAGTCATGAAGAACGACGTGAAATTATCGACGGCCGTCTATTAAGTAGATTTTGCTTTGACTGCTTGTCTAGACTCAGCTTAGACGAATATTTCAAGCACAATGTTCAGAATCCTAGCATTTATTGCATACTAGAAGCAGACATTTGTTGGAGCTAGAACATCTTTATTATAATTGAATTTTCTGTTATATACATGGAAGCAAGATATTCATTATTAGGCAGGGTTGAGTAAAGATGTCATCCATGCTTTGTTGTGGTTTACTACAAACGTTTTCTTATTCAGACATTGTAAGCTAGCTCACTTATCATCAAAGCTCGAACAAAGAATATTTTTAAGCAAAGGAACCGGCCCCAAATTAGATGTTTTCCATCTGGATTTCACTCATTCACTGTAACGAATAATGGTTTTTGGCTGTAATATATGTACATTCTTGATAACGCTGGTAACTTATTTCAATAAAGTATTTAAAAAAATGATAATCAAGCACCGAAGGTTTAAACACTTGTTCCGGTATTGCCTCTTACTCCATTTTTAACTGCGCAGCTATATATCAATTATACTATAATTTTGTCATCACAGCATTTTATTTTATTTCTCTTGTACTTTAATTATGGAATTCACATCTGGAACATTTCTCTATTTCCTGCACAGTATTTTCCTCAGACCAACCAGTGTGACATGCGCTAATCTTACAGAAAGCTATTTTTGACTAACGTGGGGGTGTACATTGTTCTCAAATATACAAACTAGTAAGTAGATGGAGGTAGTGTCCGTCAAAACGCTGATTTAGTAACATCAAATGCAACAACCCTTAGCAGCTAGCGACATATAACAAATATCCTAGTGAAGTTTGATCAAATTCAAAATAGAGATTTCATAGAAGAGCATAACGTTGGGGTGTTCATTTGTTATTTCGCCAACTCATCCTCTCACTTTAAAGAAGATGGGTGATGCCCACAGGAATCACTTGCCTCTAAGGCAGTTCCAAGAAATTGGTAGTAGGGTTTCGGACGACTTTTCCACTTGAGAAGTAAGACGTAGTTGCTTTACACTTATTGGTGGGTCTTGTAACTCTGTGCGGTAGTATATGTTTACCCTGCATTGCTGGCCAGTAATTTAATATGAAATGGGATTTTGTCTTCGAGTTAATTATCGTATGGCATCAGTGACAACGCAAGTAAAAAAATTTGGAGCTCACGTAATTAAGCAAATGACTGGCATTGAAAGGCAGAAACTTCATAAGTTCGAAAATGAAGCAAGCTAACTTTCACTTTGCTTCTTGAGAGACCCTAAAAATGAATAAGAAGAAAGGCTAACATTTTAGTAGACTCATATTTACCAGTCCAAGATCTCATGGTCTGCAGTTATTTCATTGCGTCTATGCGACTAGTCAGTGATGCTACCAATCGATAAAACACATGTCAAAGATGCAGGAGAGTCGCACGCGTTGTTTTGCTGTCTGGGATGTTTCTCACGCGGCCCGGTTTACCGTATCATCATGGTAGTAAAACTCCAGCAGATCTGGAAATACCAGCAGAGCATGTTTTATTCCGAGTTTTGTGTGTTTCCATGTAATCATTGCCATATTCCAGCCGAGACCAACAGGAATTCGCTTCGAGTGCTGCAGGAAAGCTATAACTTATTGGCCAACTGATTTGATTTTGACGCATCAGCGAGGAAGTGAATGGCAGAAGGTTGGAGTAAGAAAAAAACCGTCACGATAGGTTTTTGGATTAGCTGCGTGCATGCAGAGATAAAACTAATCGCAATCTTACTTAATTTCCTTTTGTATAAATCCGAAAAAGTGTAAAATATGGACGTTTTAACGTTTAAAGAGGTGCTAACCGGTTTAAGCACTCAGTAATGGAAGTGATATAGTCTTTGTTATGTCGGAGCAGCAAAGCTTATTAAACTCACTTCTTGAAGTAAATATATTTAAGTTTGTGGTAATGCTTTACTTTCAATCAGAAGTAGCTGGAAAAGGGAGAGTTTAAGGATTAGAAGTAATGAAGTAGTCAAAGTTAGCAGTGTTAAATTGTGTAGTTGATCACAAATTAATTTGCTATCGATTTTTAGAATATAGAGACTGCTAGAAACCCCTCTTGATATTTCAGGTAGTAGAAGCGTACGGAAGGGTCGTCTAAGACCGAGAGCATATGAAAGTGATATTCTAAGCTGTGAAAGGTGAATGACTTCTCAATGTTTTTTTACTAGATTACGTTCCTTTATGTATCAGCTAATTGCTACAACAATGAGAAGATCCATATAATTAGAAGTAGCATATATCGCATACCTTCTGCTCCACACTCAAAAAAAAGGAAACCATATCCATCTCAAGTGAAGAATTGCGGAATGTGTTCTTGACATACTTATCAATCAAATACTCATTACTTCTATTCACTAAAATGAATAAATGAAAAATTGACTGACTTGTTTGAAGCACAAATACATCGTAAAATTTGTAATTAGAATTATTATTAGAAGTCAGCTTCATCAGAAACAAAAATCAGGAAACATGTAGAGTCAATTCAAATAAGAGACTCTGATAGAAACCTCTTTTATAGTATCATCTTACTAAAGTATTCTTTGTTTCTGTCGCTCCGTTCATTCTTCATCTATTGCTAAAATGATCTCAGAGAAATGAAAAATGTGAAGTCAACATTGTTGTTTTAGGAACGAACAACAAAGTAATACTCGTGGAGCAGCTGAAGCAACTTTTGAATCAGGTTTATTGTACTCTCTAAAAGATAAATGTTCAATTTTCGTACTACTTGTGGTGTGAATTGATCTACTCTTTTTGTTTATCTATGCAACCACAATTATCACTTTACATGAGACTGAAGCATTCTGCTTCATTTTTAGGGTATGCAAATAATTAGTAAAATTTACTTAGAGTCATTTGAAATGTGCTAAAACTATTAGTTTTTCAGATGTTACGAAAGAAAATAAAAGGAAAGCACTCCCAGTTACTCAGCATAACTTGCCGGTAACTTCTAGCGGTTGTTAATTAGGGATGTCCCATTAAATGTCATTCAGATATGTTTCAGATTTCAGACCCTTTTTTTTACCAATACATTATAAGATCAGATATACATATTGATGACTTCTATCCCATCAACACTAAATCACAATATTAATCAAATGACTATTAAGTACTTGTGCGTAGCTGAATACTTCTTTATGAATGTAGTTTGAATTTAAAATATAGTTCCATTGTTCTAATTGTTCATTGTTACAAATTGATCAGCAAGCGAGTAAAAATATTCGGAAGTTTGATTGTTGATGTGGAGAAGTTCTCTTCTTAATTAGTATATCAAACTATCATGTAAAGCAGGTAGATGTATCAAATATTTCGTTGATTGTGGAATATTGGTAATTTCAGCATGAAACTGAGGTTGCAAAACTATGTGATCATGAGCGATTCATTCATTTCACGAAACGTAGTAGACAGTCTAGGTCGGAATCTTCGCACTTGCTGGGACAAAGCAGTGAAATTTCGGTAGAATTTAACATTAAAGTTAGCTTCATTATAAAAAGATATAAAAGAATAATGGATTGAGGTTTTATAATTTTTTATGATTGTTTAATTTTCTGTGATATATATTGAAGTTGCTTGTATGTTTAAGGTCATTGTGCAAACTAATGTATTTGTATTTTGTTCCTTTTTAAAAAAAATGAAATTGATCATAAGAGTTAAACTAGTAAATTGATTAAAATAATTGTAAAGTTGAATATTGTACAGTCCTTAATTGATTTCAGAAAATTGGAGTTATGCGTCAGCATGGTGACTTTGACTATGAAAGTGATACAGTTGATGTTGTAACAAATACTGATGATTCGATGACAGAAATTGATGTCGGAACTTGTGAGTTTAAATTTCAGTAATAAAGACATGAAAACAGGAATTTTGTTTGCAAACGAATAATTTAGGTTTTCAATGAATCAGCAAAATTTTTTGCAATAAAATTTGAGAAATATATCCTAATATTGATGCATAAATGTTTTCGTCGATTCTCCTTAGCCTATTTAAGCTCGAAATGGATGTAAAAATCAACGGAAAGAAGAGTGTGGGAAATATGGCGATTTTACTGCCAGTGATTCGCATCGAGCGTTCCTCTCAGATACTCGTGATATTTATATTGACAATAACGTCCCTTACAATTTTGATAGATCAGGTGATGGTAGAAGTTCCGATATGCTAAGATCGGACAGAAAGCCAATACCAGTCACGGCTCCTTTGTTGACTACTGAGCGAACTCACATCAGACTTTCAAAGCGTAAACAAGGTTGGATTCATATTATGTAAACTTTTAAAGATGTGATACTTAATACCATTTCAAAAAATTTTCAGATGACCCAGTGAAAAATTTTAAGGAAAAAAAGATCCAAGAAGAAGAACCATCTCAGAAAGAGAAAAACACAAAGACAAGGTATGTTTTCTACGGTTTTGATCTTTTTTTACTTTGCGGCGAATTCTGAATTGAAATTTCGTCAAAAATATTTTCAGAGAATCATAAATCTTCATAGATATATTCAGTGTTTTAGTGTTTCAGTTTTTAATATGTTTCAACTTTATTATTTAGAGAAGTTGGCATTCCTGTTTTATTTTACTTGATTTTCCCGTTCAAATTTTAATTAGAGAAATTTCATTATCTTAAAATTTCATTCCGTGCTAAAAACCATCGCCCAGATCTCATTTGAACGGGAAATTATATTTTATAAATTGCTGACATCGTTCTGCAACTTTTAAAAAAGTCTTTACTTTTTTCTCTAGTTTTAAATAAAATATATTCAGTTCAGTAGTATCCCTATATTTTTTCAGTCGATTTTACTACGAGGATGACAAATCACTTTTGGATGACGTAAGTCACTTTCTATCTCGTTCTTATCAGTTTCTGCCTCAGTTAATCTCTTGTTTGCGTTTTGTGTATTTCAAATTATCTTTCAGTTTTTAAAATCATTATTTTTATTTAAACTGTTTGGTTGCTGACAGTTGCAAATTAACGTTGCGTAATTTAAAATTGCAATTAAGGTTATGTATGATGAAATTGGACTCAGTGATGGTAACTATATCGAAACTACTTTTCAAGAAGAAGAACTTATTTATAATGACGACGATATAATTGTGGATGGTGTTGGTGAGGTAGGCGACTGCGATGATGAAATGGGTACGAGCCACATGCAACCGCATTCTGTTGATGATACACAACAAGAAGGTAAACAATCGTATTATAACAATTTTGAAACAGGAGCAGTATAAATATGTAGCTGTTATGGTTAGAGGTTCGCTTGATTTATTGGTAATACTTTCAGGTAAGCAGGCAAACATGATTGAGCCAGTAAATGATGAAATTGAATCAATTGTTGATGAAGCACCTCCAGAATTAGAACCTCAAAGTTCTGGCACACACAAAATTTCGCAACGTTTGAGTGTCAGTAAAAATAAAGTATCCTTATTTTTTATTTAATTTTATTTACACATTGTTCTTTGGGTAATGATCAATTAAAATTTTTGTTGGTGCTTGACATTTTTTTTCTGTATTGCAGACAACTAATTTTCCTGAACCTTCCAACGGAATGCAAGTTATTCGTGTCCAGTCACCAAATGGTACCGAGCAATTCATCCAGATCGCTTCGAGTGAAACCTTTGTTGGTAAGTTGTATTAAATATTTACAAAAAGTTTTTAATACATCATTGTCAAGTAAAAGTGTTGTATTAAAAATAAAATGTACTGACTTTTTTTTTGGAAATAATCTTTCAAACGATATGTGAAACATACTTGACTGCAATTAATTTTTATGTCAACATTGCGTTAGCATTTTAATCAAGTCAATTTAGATGATAACGGTTTATATATAAGTGATAATGATAATGTGACAAGCGTACGTCAGGATCTCCGAGCAGTGGAATTCAACTTTTTGGATTCTAAAAATATATGTTGTGGTTTATGTGGAGAAATCGTGTTATACGATCTGTTGTTGAGTACCCATATTCCAGAGCATCATCCTGAGGTGAAATTTATAACTCTTTTTTTATTTTGAATTGATAGTTTAATAGTCGAATAACTGCAGAAGGCAAATTTTTCTATTTTCGATATCTGTATTGTTATTTTTTTAGGTACTAGATGAAGGTGTGACAGCATTTGAAGACGTTCCGTATGAAACATGGTTAAGAGAAAAATTGAATGAGGAGAAACGGCGAATTGAAAATAGTATGTGTAACTTTCAAGATGATTATTCTTCTGTCAATAACTCCGGACGGATTTACCGAAGTGTTTCGACAGTAAGTTTAGACTTTGCTTCAGTTTTGGTCTCTCTTTCACTACGGTAGCATCCTAATTCCAATGATATTTTGAAGTATATGATGTATGTCAAATTTAGGTTGCCTAGTATAGATCAAAAGAATTATATTCATAATTTTTTAAGACCTTATTATATAAGAAAATTAATATTGGTTCTCTTTAGTTAAAGCTTTACTTTTTACTTTTATTTTGAGATTCGGGTCAATCCCAACGAAATGTCGCTCAATCAGTTGATTACAGCTTTGCGAAAAAAAATGTTTGAGAAATTAGGACGTTCCGTAAGTTTAAATTGTATTTTTCTTATCTCCTTTTTTAGATATAATGTATATGAGGCGTAGTAAATCAAATATGATGAGAATATATTCATATATTGTAAAAAAAAGTAAAGATTTTTCAGAAGTTCTGTATCCACAATTTTTTTTGCGAGCAATTACAAACCTTCCTCTGTGGAGTGCTCTTTTCTTTTGTTGTCTGTCAAATGTTGGGTCATCAATTTGGTATTCTTTTTTATCAGAGTAAGTGCTTGTGACATTTGTATTACCAGTACCTATTTCTCAGGTTCCTGTAACCTTGGTGGATAAACAACATGCTCGCTGTGGTATTTGTAATGCAGTTGTATCTCTTAATCGTAAATTTGAAGTGGTTCATTTGGTGCGACATTTCAATGCATGGCACCCATCTGTTCATAAGTGTACAGGAAAATGGAAACTAAAGGTTAAAATATATCTTTATCTGCTAAATGTAGTAGTTTTCAGCCATCTCTCATTGATAGAAAATTAAATGAACTTGTATAGTGTTAAACGAAGTTTTTAAGATTTCTGCTTGCTGGCACATATTTCTGGAACATTTATGTATTAATAGAAAATGATTGTATCAAAATTAAGTTTTTTCTTTCAATAATTTGTGACTTATGAAACTTTCATACTTCAATCCACTCTTGTTTTATATAATTTTTTTTGAATTTTAAAGGATGGATTTTCAGGAGCTTAGGTTTTTGAAAAAGCTTGAGAGTTGTGTTAACTTTTAATTTTCCTACAAGACATCTGCATATGTCGTTTTGGATTAAAATTTTATTCTGATGTGATATCATAAGTTTGGTGTCGATGTGAAAGGTTTTTTCGTGTTTCTAACATTCTAGCAAACTACTTTATTTTCAGAAGCAGCAACCAGGATTAGGAAAGCCTTTATCATTTCAAGATTTTGCTGTAATTGATACATCGCTTGATCGTGGTGCTAATTTACAATGTATTTGGTGCGGAATGTTTATGACATCGGAAGCACTTGCTATGCATTTTTCTGAAGTTCATCCTGAAGAAATTGAAGTACCGAAATGCAATCTTTGTTTGCAGGTATCATTGTTCTTAATATTCTGTGAGGAAAGCAGTGATGTGATTTGAATTTCTGATTAATACTTTAAGGAGCTTGTGATTAATGCTCGTTTATTGGAAAAATACGGAGAAGATTTTGATATTTCTTTACCGGATGAGCACCAAATAAAATGTGGCAAATATGGCACAACTCATGTATCAGAATCTCGTTTACATTCTGGCTAGTCTTAACCTCATTTTTATTCCTTTAATTTACAGAAAAACTATGTAAGTTATAATAGAAGCCTATGTAAAATATTTGTAATTCGTCTGTTTTTTAAGAGGAAATAACTTTAGTGGCTTCAATTAAATATCCTTCAACATAATATCGTCTCTTTTAAAAAATATTTTTGTAGCAATAGATAAACGACTGAAACTCTGTGGAGAGGGAAGAAATTTGAGTGATGTTGAAGATGATGAAACAGAAGATGTCGGGAGAGCTTCGAGTTACGTTAATAGTCGAATGACATTTGGTTTGTTACATTTTTTTAAAGTGTCGTAGAATTAGTCTTCAGTTACGTCGCTTTTGTTAGTTCTAAAATTGCAGTGGAGTAAGAGGTATTTTTGTTTGGGATCCAAATTTGTAATATCCATGATGAATCGCGAAACCGAAGTTTTTTTAAGATTTGCACATCTTTTCAAAAAAGATGAAATATGTAAAATGCCATAATTCTAAGGTCGGCGGAGCAAACCGAAACGGCAGTTTATAATGCCGGCATTAAGGCAGGCAGCACCGGTTAACAGCCGTTTTGTGGAAGCAATCAATGATTGTCACTGGAGATGTAAAATATGCAGTGCAGACATCTTAGCAGCTGTTATTAGTGCTGGAGCAATCCGTCACTTTCGAACTGAGCATCCACAGCATTTGCATAACATGCAATATGAGCTGTGTAAAGTTAATATTTAACTTTATTAAATTTTATTTTCATTATTAAATTTTTTAAGCAGATAAGTGCACCCTGTGTGTTTCTTTATTTAGTGTTCTCTGAAAATGAAAAAATTGAATTAAATGTTTCTAGCTATCTAATACCTTCCTTAATCTGTTAGCATTCATATTTAATCTGTAGAATCACTTTCGTAATGAACATTGTGTCCAGAAATTATTATTTTTTAAAGACGCGATTAGAAAGAATTTCTGACGGATGTATGGAATTCATTAACCCGCAGTTAATTGAATGTCTAGTCTGTAACATGACATATATGCTCCACCGACCATTCAATATGTGTCGAGCTATTCGCCATCTGCGGTCAAAGCATCCAGATTTGATGCCTGAATTTGCTTCTGCTCCGACTTTGGTAAGTCCACTTTTTTCAGATTAATATCTATTTTCTTTACTTTTTTTATTTCCGATATTCATTATTCAATTTTTTTAAAGTTTTCATCATTGACAAAAGCTATAGAGATGAAATAGTTTCCTTATTTATGGGTGCTTGATATATCAAGCTCGATTCAGTTTCACTTCATATACTTTCAGTGTAATAATTCACAGAGTAAGCAGTCGCTACGAGGCCATGGTTAGTGTTGGTTTTAGTTATAAGTTTAGACATTCTAGTAAAAATTAAAATTTAACAATATAAAAAAACAGGTAGATTAAAAGGACAAATTGTCACCTTGTAATATATTTTTTGATTAAATTATGCGTCAAATTTATTCTTCAATTTTTCTTCAATTTTTATTTTTTTGACATTTTTCAAATGTCAGAAAAGTATTAGGAAAGTTCATATTTTTCTCTATGAAAACAGTATCTGATCAAACATTTCTAAAGTAAATATAGTTCTGGATCTATATCGATGAATTACAAAAGTAGATGCCAAATTAAAATCATGAACTATAGAGAGCTCTTTGTGTTACAGATACTCCTGAAGGTATCATCACAGATCCAGCCACGATTGCGATGCTTAAAGCGCAATATGGTGTCGATTTCAAAAAGGTCTGCTAATGTATTATTTGTATTCATTTTTTTTCTTATTCACATTCTGAGTTACTGAATTTATGTTATGAGATTGTAAATCACAGGATAATTGCAGGTGCATCATTTTGTACTTTATTGTAGGTGCAAGCATTAAAAGGTGTTAGTGGAGAGCCGGTTTATGTATTGTTAGATGAAGGTGATGAGATAGATCCCG